CCCAGCCTGGATCCTTCTAGCCCGCTCAGATGGTGAGAGGTGGGGCCCTTCCCACTTGCATGGGCTCATCTTCGGGGGGTGAAACCGAGAAAGGAGTCGGAAAGGATCTGGAGATTGGGGCAGTGGCAGTGCCAATTCGGGGATCAAGTGAGGAGTAGCTGGGATTGGGGTGACGGCTATTCCTATCCCTGCGTCTCTCTCTGAGGCGATTATCAATCTTGATAGCTGTGGCAATTAAATTATCCAAGCTAACTGGATCATCCCTAGCAGCTAGCTCGTCTTTAATTGCTTCGTTCAGCCCTTGAAGAAAAACATCTTGCAATGACTCGTTATTCCAGCCTGAGTCAGCAGCAACTGTTCTAAACTCAACTGAAAATTCGGCTACACTACGGGAGCCCTGCCGGAGAGAAAGAAGGCGCCTAGAAGCGTCCCTCCCCCGTACCGGGTGATCAAAAACTTTTTTCATTTCGGAAATGAAAGTATCAAATGATGAGCAAATGTGTGGCTGGCTCTCCCTAACGGCTGTAGCCCAATCTAGAGCACTCCCCCTCAACAGACTCATTACATATGCTACCCTAGCCCCATCTGTGTGATAAGTACTAGGCTGCTGCTCAAAGACTAACGAACACTGGAACAAAAAGGCTCTACAAATACCCAAATCTCCAGCGTATCGCTCCGGTGTAGGAATAACAGCCTCTCGTAGCTGATGGAGAGGTGCGGCAGGAGCGGGGGGAGGAGCTGTCGGCTGTGCAGCGGGCTGCGGGGGAGAAAACTGGGAGGTGAGCAGTTCCACTTGTGTGCCGATCCTTTGCACGTTAGTGGAGAGGTTCCGGAGAGTCTCCACAACCTCACGGAGAACCACGTCGTGATGCCCCACGAGAGCACCTTGATTGGCCAGGGCTTGGCTGAGTTCGTCCGCAGTCTTGGACTGGTGGCCTGTGTCCGCTGAGTCCATACTGGCCAGATCGTTCTGTTACGATATCCGATAGGACCCAAACGCAGGACACGGCAGAGTGTTGGAAAAAGGTTTATTGTGAGGTGGAGGAGCGTGGAGAGTAATCCGGTTGGAATGATGACTGGTGGCGGCAGGTGATGGTAACAAGGCGGCTGGATAGTGATCCTGGAGCATAAGAGAAACAGATGAGAAAAGTATTCCGTGTACAGAGAAATAGTTTTAAATCGGCTAAGAAGGCTGAGAGTTACCACTGGGGTTTAAACAACGATCTGGCGCTGACATGTTGTGGAGCCTCCGCTGATATACCATTAGTAAATGGCTGAATGGGAATCAGGTGTGTAAAGCTGATTGCACCAGGTGGAGATTTGCAGCAGGTGGAGATTGAGCCGGGAGCCAGGAGTGACAGCCACCACGCCCACACAGACAGGGAAAGGGAACACACACTCACAAGGGAGGTGGCTGAAGAGTAGAGCCACCACACATGCTCGATGTTCAGTTAGCATATATGCTAACTGAACATGCTCGTTCAGTTAGCATGTCAAGTTAAGAGCTAAGATATATGTATATATTTTAGCTTGACAGATGGAACAATGCATGTACTCGCATTTTTACAAGAATCTGATTTTGTGTAAGTTTTAAATATTCATTGAAGGTGTCTTTCACATTTGAATGTTTAAAAAAAAAAAAAAATGTATTAGCTGCTATACTGACATGCACATATGTATAATTATATTATTATTTTATGTGTGGTTTAAAGTTAAATGATATATAGTTATTGGGTAGAGCCAAGTAACCCAGGTCGATGCAATCAGGCCTCTGTTTTTAGATGGGGTTTGTGGCCATGCTGTAGGCCTGACATTTAAACCATAGACTGTATATATAAAGATTTAAACTAGCTGAAGGGCTTTCTGTTCGAACCACAGTGACATCTAGAGGTTGTTTTGTGCATAACATGTCAACCAAAAGGGTAGAGCTGGCTGAATCAGATGGAGTTAAACTTTTTTTTTTTCAACAAGATATCAAGACACAAAATGTGCTCTACCAAATGGTGGTGCTGGCAGTTAAAGGGTTACCTTCTGAAAGTGAGGAAGTATGACCAGCTTTGTCCCATAGGATTATACAGGCCAGTCCATTGCTGCTTGTTTAAGGAGTTAACTATTTCCAATATTAAAGTCACTGAAATTGTATTCTATTTTATTCACCTATAGACAAACAACACAACACTCCGTGATGGAGCACACCCAGAGCTCAACAAATTGGACTCGGACACCTTCCAGTGTACATTTTGTGAAAGGACCGGGTCATACCCTGGTCTGATGGCTCATTTGCAGAGCCACCAGAGGGCACTTGTGAAATATGGAGGTAAGTACATCTATAATTCTATATGATCATTGTATACTTCATCACATTACATTACATGTTACTTGTTAGATGTGTTTAATGCCTCACACATTATGGATACATGTGTTATTTCTGTGCCCCAGGACATCCTTGGTGTAAATTAATTTTGAATTATAAATTGAACATTAAAAATTAGATTTATATTCAGGTTATGAAGTGTTAATAATGCTGGAAAAGTATCCTTATTTGGGGTAGGCACAATATAAGCATAATCACACATTCAATCTGCAAATAGGCAAAAATATTATTGTTGGTGACATGATTATTTATTGCTCTCGCACAAACACCTTGTTTCAAATTGCATATTTACAAGAAATTCATGTTGGTTTGTTTCTAGAATCCTCTAAACCACTTTCTGTCTCTTTTTAGGTTATAATGTTTATAAATGCCATCTCAAATGTGTGGCCAGCAGCCATTATCACTGTGGCTTTTGCCCAAGAATCATTGGGAGAAAGGAGATGTTTATTAGTCACTTTAAAAACTGCTGCACTGAACATCCAACTACGTTGGGGGCGGCCCCAGCAACCACAACGACCGCTCCAGTGATGGCCCAGACGGCCGCTCCAGTGATGGCTCCGACGGCCGCTCCAGTGATGGCTCAGACGGCCGCTCCAGTGATCGCTCCGACGGCCGCTCCAGTGATGGCTCCGACGACCGCTCCAGTGATGGCTCAGACGGCCGCTCCAGTGATGGCTCAGACGGCCGCTCCAGTGATGGCCCCGACGACCGCTCCAGTGGTGGCCCAGACGGCCGCTCCAGTGATGGCTCCGACGGCCGCTCCAGTGATGGCTCCGGCTGCTGCAGCAACATGGCACAATATTTCCACAGCCCCCAACATTTTGATGTCAAAGCGCAAAACCACAACATGTTGTTTTGTAGCCTACAACTAAAAAGGAACATTTTTCACATGATGTTCTGTTCAATAAATGTTCATTGAGGAAAACGGTATCAGTGTCTTATTGTATATTCATCACAGTGAATGCTGAACTTGCCGGACCATATACTGTAGTTGAAAGTACACAATGAAACACTGGCTTGCTTGTATCAAATCAATACAATTCCCACATGCCCTACCCCGGAACCTGCGGTCTTCAGACTCTGGCCCCCCGCAACAACCTGCGATCCTTCGGGGACAGAGCCTTCAGTATGGCAGCCCCCACTCTCTGGAACGCTCTCCCTGCGGAGATCTGCAACATCCCCACGCTTGACGCCTTCAAAAGGGCCCTCAAGTCTGCCAAGGTCTTTGGCCCCAAATCTATTTGTTTTGTCTGTCTAACTGTTCGTCTGACTGCCTTTTGTTATGTTTGTTTCTACTCCTGTTCTTTTTAAAGCGACCTTGGGTCTCATGAAAGTCGCTATATAAATCCAAGTTATTATTAATACATCATTGGAACGGTAAGAATCTCAGCTACAACACTGACTAAAGCCTTCCCATCTCCAGTATGCCTACATGACAAGTATTTTTATAATATACAGTAAACATATCTTTGACTTATTGCAAAATTATAAAATGAAATTCACCCCTGCTGTCATTCTGGCTTTGACTGTTCAAATGAGATGTCAACCATCAAAATGGGATAAGGGGTTCCAGAGATATCACTGTGCAAAACACACCGGCCAATTTTGACCGATAATAGTATGGGAAGGGGACCGAACGCAAGAGAAGAGACAATCATCAAGCCAGATACCAAGGTATTTACAACAGGCAACCACTTCAATTACTTTTCCTTTATGTTATTGTTATTTGGTTTTTATTAGTGCTTTTGTCGTTTTGAAGGAAATTAAAATACTGTATTGAGTTGGTTTCTTCTGTTTTGGAAGCCTTGTATATCTTTTTGGTCTTGTTAGAAATACCCCATGGTAAAACTGTGTTCTAGCAGCAGTTAAAGAAGCTTAGTTTGCTGTCTTAGACTGCCAGATGTATTAAGATGGTTTGTTCACAATTTACACATAAAACCTAAATGTTCATCTGTTTATTGTTCTTCTTCCTTTATATTCAAAGCATGTTGATTGTCTATTGGCTATATCTTGACATTATGTTAATTTGATCATACTTGCCATACATTTATTTTAATTGAGGCGATTCCTTCAAAGGTTTTGTAATAGACCCCTAGTACTTTTAATTTATAAAGTAATAATACATGTGAATGATTGAGCTCATTAGTGGCCTGACTGGCCCTCCTAATGTGTTCCTTAATGACCCCATGATGTGATTATGTATATCTTAAAACCTTTAACAACTATATTTAGATGTTCACAAATATCTACATTTATGTATAAAATACATGTGTAGCAGTTAGACAAACATAATCAATAGATTATCTCATTAATAAAAGTTTACTAAACCACCGTTTGTTGACAAAATGATTTGGGTTGAAAGTTATACTGTTGTGTCTCAAACGGATAGACTAGGTTATTAATTTATTTGCCTAATAGTTGCTTAAAATGCTACAATAACATTTGCAATTCGCTTTTAATCTGCCATGTACGGTAATGTCTCTCAGCCACCGTAGTGTCGTGTCAGGTGGGCGTGTCGTGTAGTGGGCGTGTCGTGTAGTGTCGTGTACTGGCCGCGGCCGCAGCTAGACCATATTGAAAAGAAAAGCTCCCGCACAGTTTCCTGTCGGAACTCCACAGTGGGACACACACCGGAAGTAAGCAGCACAAGCTTTTAACTCTACGCGGTATACACATATGGTCATTTCCGGCGCCATTAAACAACAATAATGTCTGCAGTTCCGAGTTTGAGAGAGTTTGTCAACGAGAGACTGACTGCTGCTGCTGAAGAAATATTGGGAGTTTTTGAAAGAACTATCGTCGAGTACGAGGAAGAGATTGATCGTCAGCGCAGACTGTTGAACATCTTACCCACAATAAAGTTACACAGGATAGGTGAGTAAACGTTTGTTTTAATAAACAATACAAGACTTAGGTCGTCTATTTATAACTAATATTAATCGTTAAGAAGATATACTTGTTCTTATTGGTTTGTTTCCTAACCTTTACAATAGTGTATTATGTATTCTCTTTTCTGTTTCTCCAGAGCTCCCTCAGCAACATGTCTGTAAGGAGGAGGAGGTTTTCTCTGAGCAGCAGCTCTGCATTCAGGAGAAAAACTCCGGTCTGGACCAAGAGGACCCAGAGCCTCCACAGATACAAGAGGAACAAGAGGAGCTGTGCAGCAGTGAGGAGCAGCTTGTACTGAAGCAGGAGACTGATGACTTTATGTTGACTCCGACTTATATGGAAAGTGATCACAGTGAAGATCAGACTCTGAACCGGAGCATCAGTGACACTCAGCAGTGTAATGTAGCATCAGAAGAAGGGATTGTATACACAAACAGGGACCACCAGCTCCTCTCTCACAACTCTCCACTAGCTGAGAGCCAAGATCAGAAAGTTGGCAAGCATGGAGACTCAGGATCAACTCACGCAGAGCCAGAAGTAAACCAGCTAGATAACATTATTCAAAGTCAAAGCTACAATGTTAACAGCACTACTAAGTCAATATGTCATCAATTAAAATGTGACATATGTGAAAAGGATTTTACGTACAAGTCTAAATTGCAGAGTCACCTGAGAGTCCACACAGGTGAGAAGCCCTATTTTTGCAAAATATGTGGGAAAGACTTCAAACTTCAATATAACTTAACCGTACACCTGAGAATCCATTCAGGCGAGAAGCCGTACGATTGCAAGACCTGTGGGAGAGATTTCAGTGATATATCTGCATTGAAGAGTCATCTAAGAACCCACACAGGAGAAAAGCCATTTTCTTGCCAAACATGTGGAAAACAATTCAGTCACTCAACATCCTTGACTATTCACAGTAGAACCCACACAGGTGAGAGGCCATATTCCTGTGAAACATGTGGCAAAGGATTCAAATGTAGTAGTGAGTTAAAAGTCCACATGAGAAGCCACACAGGTGAGAAGCCATTTACTTGCCAAACATGTGGAAAACAATTCAGTCACTCAACATCCTTGACTATTCACAGTAGAACCCACACAGGTGAGAGGCCATATTCCTGTAAAACATGTGGCAAAGGATTCAAATGTAGTAGTGTGTTGAAAGTCCACATAAGAAGCCACACAGGTGAGAAGCCGTGCCTTTGCAAGTACTGCGGACAAAGATTCAGTAACAATTCAACAATGACAAGGCATTCAAGAATCCACACAGGTTAAAAGTTGTGTATTTACAAAATATGTGGGAGAGTTTTCAGACAGAGCAGTGGTTTGTTGAGCCACATCAAAAAAGTCCAGACTGGTCACACACCTGAGGATCAATATACACAGGAGAAACCATCGAGCTAAAACTGCTGTGGGAAAATGTTCACAAACATAATGAAATCCAGTTTGCAGAAGCTACATCTCTTTAACACAATTACCAACATGTTTTAAAGGTCACCTATTATGCAAAATCCACTTGTTCATGTCTTTTATACATAAACATGTGTCCCCTCTGTGTAAAGAGATTCTGAAAGTTTCAGTTAAAAAGATTTGCTCACGTTTTGTCCTGATCCAAAAACCTGTCTGAAAATGAGCTGATTTTGGCCACTTTATGATGTCATAACGATTTTTTGGCTTGTGTAACCATTAGCCAATCACCAACCAAGGTAACACCCCCACCGTATCCCCTGAATCTCCTCTTAGAGCACCATTGTGTTCTTTTTAACCAAATATCTCTCATAGGGGCGTGGGGAGTGGCTCCTTATTTTCATCTAAAGTAACAGACAGAGAATCAGCACTTTTGAAACAGGGCTGTAACAGAGGGGTTTATGGGATGCTACAATGCATGATCTGTTTGGTATTTGGAGCCAAACACTTCAGAGACATGTTTTGTATATATCTGAGACCTATAATATATTGATGAAAAACAGTATAATAGGGGACCTTTAAATAAAAGAGATTTAAATACTTGTAAATGTTCCCTTCATTTGACTGTTCTACTTACACTGATCAGCCATAACATTATGACCAACTGCCTAATATTATGTAGGTCCCCCTTTTGCGGACTCCACTAGACCTCTGAAGGTGTGCTGTGGTACGAGGACTGACCACTGCAGACCAGGATTACCCCACAAGAGCAGCCGTTTTGGAGATGCTCTGCCCAAGTCGTCTAGCCATCACAATTTGTCCCTTGTCAAAATCGCTCACATCCTTACGCTTGCCCATTCTTCCAACACGTCAACTGGAGGACAAAGTGTTCACTTGCTACCTTAAATATTCCACCCACTGACAGGTGCCATTGTAACGATATAATAAATGTTATTCACATCACCTGTCAGTGGTCATAATGTTATGGCTGATCAGTGTATACCTTACTTTATATATTACTTAATTGCATAATTTAGGGTAAATGTTATTTCCACATTCAGTTCACAGTAGTGACTGTAGAAACAATGGTGTGATCTTGATGGATGCTGGTTTTGTCTGAATGTTTATTGATGAAGCAGCTTGAATGTATTTTTTATAAAAGTGCAAAAAGGACATTCAACCCATTTCTATCAAACAACAAAATAACATGAAAAGTTATGCATTTGTAATGCCATCATCTGCTAGTGTTTTGAAAGTGTTTGTGGTAGGAGTGATTATATGCTCCTCTTGGATTTTGAATAAAATAATTGAGGCAGGTTTGCCGTGTTTTTATATTTGCATTTTGCAAAAAATGTGGTTTAGAGCAGAAAATTCACTGTTTGTCTTGTCTGAACCAAAAACTGTAAAATCTAGTTGAGTTGACAAATTGAATTATTGGGACACATTTCTAAAAGATGTATAGACTGTACATCCTGTCAAAAATGTGAACATAACCTAAATACTGTGTTCATTTATTTGATAATACAGTTAATATACAGCCATATATCAGTAGTACTACAATATAAGTCTTGGAAGATGTCTGCTGTGTCACGAAGCAAGTGATCCATTGAGACAGGTTACCATTTTGTTAAAGGTACAAATAAAAAAGTAAATTATGCAGATTCGGACCAAAGTCTGGCTGTTGTATGTGGGCGAAGTAATAGATACAATATGTAGGTCTACTAATACAATTGAAAGCGTTACATTAACTTTGCAAGGTAGAAATTACGGTCATTTTGCAATGCCAGACCTATGTCCCTTTACCTGACTGAAATAATGATAAATTAGAAAAAAACGTTTAAGAAAAAAGGACAAGCAGATTGTACACATTATGGATCACAATACTGTAGCTCCATTGAATAAGGGCAGGGCTCCTCTATACCTCATCTGTAGAGACATGTTGCTTCGGCAGCCCTGGAAACAAAAGGAATAGGACACTGTGATGGTAAAGAAGTAATCAGATGATTTACTCAGTAAAATAAAACAAGTAGCAATACAGTGTAAAAAAAATCTGTTCCAAGAAAAAGTACTGTGTCCATCCCTTTATGACTACCCATCTTCTGATGGCTACTTCCAGCAGGATAACGTGCCATGTCACAAAGCTCAAATCATCTCTAACTGGTTGTGCAGCTGACAAATCTGCTGCAACTGCCTGATGCTATCATGTCGATATGGACCAAAATCTGGTATAGTCTCTGCCATGAAGGATTAAGGCAGTTCTGAATGCAAAAAGGGGTCGAACCCGGTGATAACAAGGTGAAATAACCTCCCTTTTGCCTTCAGAACTGCCTTAATTATTCATGGCATAGAATCAACAGGGTGCTGGAATCATTCCTCAGAGATTTTGGTCCATATTAACATGCTGTGGAGGCACAGAAGGATCAGAAGCCCTGCCCTTTTGTTATAGAAAGGGCAGATATGTGCATATCCTTCAAAAGGGTTAACCCACACAAGGCTCCTGGAACTGATGGCATCCATGGCCGTGTTCTCAGGGTGTGTGCAGTTCAGCTGGCAGAGGTGTTCACAGACAAATCTTCAACAGGTCCCTGCTACAGTCTATAGTCCCCACATGCTTCAAACACTCCACCATCGTTCCTGTCCCCAAAAAGTCAAAAATCACCAGCCTCAACGATAGGACTCCAGGATACTCTGCAACTTCTGCAGGTGCACCATAGAGAGCATCCTGACTGGCTGCATCACGGCCTGGTTTGGCAGCTGCACCGCCCTCAATCGTAAGGCTTTACAGAGGGTGGTGAAAACTGCACAGCACATCACCAGGACGGAGCTGCCATCCATGGAGGATCTTTACTCCCAGCGGCTCAGGAAGAAAGCCCACAGGAATATAAAGACCCCCATCACCCCAGCCACACACTGTTCAGTCTGCTGCCGTCTGGCAGGCGTTACCGCAGCATCAGAACTAAAACCACCAGACTCAGGGACAGTTTCATCCCACAGGCCATACGACTGCTAAACGCCTGAACTTTTGAAAGAACATACATAACATTCATCTGGCTGCAATTTACAAATTATTTATCTAATATATCATATTCCAATCACTTATAGACTCTTATTGCACGTATTGCGCATTTCACAATAATTTTTTGTATTTACTTGCACTATTTTTTCAGTTTTATTGTGTTGCACTGTTGGTGGGGCTGTGACCTAAGATTTTCATCGTCATAACTACACTGTAGCTATGTACGTATGACAATGTCAATCCATGATGAGAATCTCTCATTCCACCACATCCCAAAGGTGCTCTATTGGATTGAGATCTGGTGACCATTAGAGTACAGTGAACTCATTGACATGGGTAGCACAATGTGATCATAAAGGGATGGACATGGTCAGCAACAATAATCAGGTAGGCTGTGGCGTTTAAACTATGGTCGATTACTAAGGGGCCCAAAGTATGCAAGGAAAACATCCCTCACACCATTACACCAACACCGCCAGCCTGAACCGCTGATACAAGGCAGGATGGATACATGCTTTCATGTTGTTTATGCCAAATTCTGACCCTACCATCCGAATATCGCAGTAGAAATCGAGACTCGTCAGACAAGGCAACAATTTTCCAATGTCCTATAGTCCAATTTTAGTGAGAAGTGTCTCCTCTGGGTCTTAAAACTATAACTTCACCGCCTTCAACCTAAACAGTTAACGTGCAATAAAGGTTTTTTGTTCTTGATTTGAGATTGACGAGGTAGATTTGAGGTGAACATAATACTGACCAGGTTTGATTTATTTGACAATAAAGCTGACATCAGATATCTTCTCTCTAGCTGGAGAGTGGCTGTACATTTTGTGATATTGTCCTGTTTAGTTTGTTATTTGAAAAATAATAGAAAGATGGATTTTGACTTTCACTATAGGCTGCCTTGGTTTTTCATTTTCATTGTCTTTTCATTAAATGGAACTACTGATTTGTCACATTTTCAAATTAGCCTACACTGTAAGAAACGTACCGTGAAATTCACAGTATTTAACTGGCAGCAATTGACAAGTTACTTACTGTAAAATGAATTACAGTAAAAAAACATGGAGATTGCATTTTTAAAACAGTGGCGATAACAAATCAACCCAAAAAATATGAAGCCATTTCTTCTGCCAAGCCATTTTAGAGACGTGCTGTAGTTGAAAAGGTGTCACGACCTCGACACAGACTGGAGAACCCAAATGCACGACCCAGAGACAGTCTTGAATGTAACAAAAATTGTCTTTTTAATGTCAATGAACAGAAAATCCTTCTTAACAGAGTAAGTACTGGAATAACAAAAAAAACTCTCACAAGGAGGATAAAACTAAGCAAAAAGAGAACTTAAAGGTGGGGTAGGTAATTTTGGAGAAACCAGCTCGAGTGCGTTAGAATTTGAAAATACACCGCCGGAACAAATCTGCCACTTCCTTATAGAGCCCCTCCTCCAACACACACGAACGCGCACATGACCAATGAGGGCACGAGATAAGTTTGTGCACAGATGGAAGGCTGACAGGCAGGTAGGCCATCCAGCTATTTTAGCCGGGCCGGCTAAAATGATTGGTCGTGCTTTTTACAGTATTACGGCTTCCACAGATGACATTTTTTTATGGATTTTTTGTCAAAGCACTTAAGATATGCATTGCTATCGGGATGTTAAGAGCATTCCATGGAATATAACAAAAAGTGTATCTCGAGCCGGTTTCTCAAACTTACCTACCCCACCTTTAAGATAAACTTAAGTCTACAAAAATAACAAAACCTGACCAGACTGTAAACGATCCTCTCTTTGCTGAGGCCTGGCACGACCATACGTGGAAACAAACAAGACAAACTGACACAGGACAGGGGAAGACAGGACTATTTAAACATGAGGTGGGTGGGAACAGGTGGAAACAATCAGGGGCGGAGCAGACGCTGACGATGGCGGGAAAACACACAAAGGGAGGAAGTAACAGGGCCTGAAATTAGAGACCAGAGGTAAGTACAAAATAAAACAAGAAATGGAAAACGAGACACGACATCAAACACGGGGACTTAACTAGAGATGAATGACATAAATAGACTGACCTGACATGACGCGAATAAACATGAAAACCTGACTAAACATGAAATGACAGACATAATACATAAACATAACCAACACATCTGACGAGACACAACAAAAGGCACTGTTTGGCAAATACATTATCACTATTCTTAGATAATACACAATATTTTAAAACACTTTGAATACAAACAACCAAATGCATGCAGGAATGGACCCTGTACTGAACTTACAAACCTTACACGTGTAAAACATTTTGATAAGCTAGCCGAGTACAATTAGCTTAACTTGCTTTTCACTAAGCGGTCTGACGTCGGACTGTCAAACTTTGGCTACGGTTACATAAATTAACTGACAAAATTGTTTGTATTAATTACTTTATTTGTCTTTTGAGTTACCATGTCCATTGGGGGAGGTTACTTCCTGGTTCAGCAAAGGGCGTGGCCGAGCGCTGAGGACTCATAAATACTGCAAGGAGCCAATTGGGACAGATTGGGACAAACCACCTGCTTCCAAGTTAAAGGGGGGATTTGGGTTTTGTCAGTGTCCTTTGTGTATTCTGTTACTATTAATTATCCCTTGGTTTCAACTTGGTTTGGCCAAGCCACTATATAGGTTCCTTGGTTTTTCATTGTAGCAGGTCAGTTTGTTGAGTTAACACCTGTTAAGTTGATGCCATGTTTCTTTGAGGTATTTTCTGTTGACCTCTTTTATTATTGATTTATGATGTTTTCTGTGGACTTTTGGGTAAATAAAAAACCCTCACTGTTTATTCATCATTCAATTCATTCTATATTTTATTCTGTAGATTGTGTACATTACTTTTCACTTCACTGCTTGTTGCACTCCTGGTTAGAAGCTAAACTGCATTTCGTTGTCTCAGTAGGCCTACCTGTAATATGTGCAATAACAATAAAGTTGAATCTAATCTTGAGCAGGAACAAATGTATTTACTTAGTACATATCTGACATTAACGATTAAACACATTTGTGCGTTCTTTATAAATGCAAACTGGTCAAGACCACCGACGGAAGTAGTTTTGAAAAGTAGTGGTTCTGTCTTTTACATGTAGGATTCAACCCCCCTTGTATTGATTTGTTTTAAAATGAACAGACACTTCATTAATTTGTAGTGATATATTAATTGTGGGATTTCTATTGCATCCACTTCATCTGCAACGAAGAACGCCAACGCAATTTCCGCCATTGCAAACCGAGTCAAACCGACTCCGAGCTGTCCGACTTCAGGCGAGTTTTTTGAGACCTCCCCCGGCTGCAATCGGCTATTCTCGTCTACTTTCGAGGCGAGCCGCAACTCATCTCAAACAAGCCTATTTTTTCTGTTGACCGTTTTTGTCCCTATAGTTTGTCGTTCGTTTTTGTTAATTAAATAATGTCAGACTATATTACTTCGGTGTGGACTTTCTCTTTGAAAACGCGTCACAGCCTATAGCCAAGCTTAGCCTCTCGGCGACTCAAACTGGACTGGGAATTGAGCCGCCACAATAATAATAAAAATGATGATTACCTTACTTTTGTCTATTTTTATTCCTCAGTGTGTATATTAAGACATATGTTGGTTTATTTAAGATATTTGAGATATTTTAGCTATTCTAGAAATGGGGTTTTTTCGGTGGGTTCTTTCTTTTTTGGTCACTGTGATCTTCTACAGTACATTGTTGGTTACTGTGATTATCTACAGTATTGTTGGTTACTGTGATTATCTACATTACATTGTTGGTTACTGTGATTATCTACAGTACTTTGTTGGTTACTGTGATTATCTACAGTACATTGTTGGTTACTGTGATTATCTACAGTACATTGTTGGTTACTGTGATTATCTACAGTACATTGTTGGTTACTGTGAATATCTACAGTACATTGCTGGTTACTGTGATCTTCTACAGTACATTGTTGGTTACTGTGATCTTCTACAGTAGGCTACATTGTTGGTTACTGTGATTTTCTACAGTTGGGACGTTACTACTGATATTTTTAAAGTAACTCCAGAGTTGCTGTAATTTTTGGTTGGAAACACGGTATTATAGCCTACTCTAAAATGGTATACAATAATTTACTGTGCACAAACACTGTAAATAACTGTGGATTTCACAGCCATTTTTTACAGTGTGGAAATGCAGGATTATCTGCTAAATGCCCGGGCGTGCTTTGACAGATGGCAAGACACCCACTGTGTTAAACGGCATAGATTGGGGTCAGTGTTGGATAATATGCGTTTACTACCTTCTATTGTGTTTACACATCCACATGTATAGCAAGTACAGTCTGCTCTATGCTGTGTAGGCCTACACGAGACCAAATCATCGATGTGCATATAGGCCTCTATAAATGTCTGCACATGTAGCTCGGTTGTACTATGATTCAAATATAGTATACTGCATCTAAGGAGTAGTCTTTTAACTATGTATATGGTCTATATGTCTTCAGATCGTTTGCGTTTTTAAAACTTAATGAATAAACGCATCACGTTGTCGGTGCATGCCACAACCCCTGCTTCTGTGTTTCCCTTGGATCCCAGTGATTTCCCTGTTTTTGCATAAACCTATAACCACAATGCGCGTACACGTTCTGCTCCCATTCGCGTACACGCGCCCATGGTTCGCTTTGCATCTCGTCAAAACAAAGCGGGGGCGAGCCAGTGAGTGAGCGAGCGGCAGCGCATGCTTCATGAATGAGTCCCTCTCTACAGCACTGAGACCCTCAGCCTGCACCCTGATGCCAGTGTGGGTGCGCTGACCCCCGGGGAACAGTAGAGGAACCAGCCGCTGATGATCCCGGACAGTGAACGGCTCGGCCCGGTGCTACAGGACCGTTTCATCCCTCCAGGAACAACACGACAGGACAAGGCACGGTGAGAGCTACAGTGGGCGGGCAGAGGCGCATGACATACGACAACTTTGTTGCCATAATCATACAGTTTTTAACCATACTTTATGATGCATATGTGCCCGTGTCTGTGTGTGTCCATAAGACAATGTTTAGAGAGGGACTTGGCTTCATTCTCTCGTCTGTACAGGTAGAAAAAATAGAAAACCCTCCACGTACGCACGACTGGCTGTACATTCCTCCCTGTCGGAAAAACGTGGACTGTTGATTGCGTGTCTGTGCGATTGATTGTCTTATGTCGAATAAACAACATGTGGGCAGTACACTGGGATATCAATAAGCCAGAAAAGCAATAGAGCCACATTTAAATTAAAAGTGTTATCGATCTGACTGTAGTCGCTCCTGAAAGAGAAGGAGGAGGGGTGAACAAAAGCAGAAATGCCCAGACTGGCCTGGCATGGCATGTCGGGCAGTCTGTCTCTGAGCCTCTGACTGAGATGTGGATTTACTCTGATAAGACTGCAGGCCAAGCCTTTTGAAAACACTCAGATCACCCTTTTTATCACGCAGGCAGGGTGGCAGTAAGGGAGGCTCGTGTAGAGTCTTTGTCTGTGGAGTGACAGCCCAGACTGTTGTTCTCCCCTCTGACCAGGGGATGGTGCTTTACTATGCCCACTGTGTTTCTATGGGGGAGACACCCAAATACATGATAATACTGTACAGTCATACTGGCTGTGTGGCTTTTACAGGAATACTTCTCACTCACACTCACACTGGACATGTACACACTTGCATTTCCCTTTTTTCTCTCTGATGAAATGTGTGTGTGTAATTGTGGCAAGGTTAGGGCGTAGCTTGAGCTCTGATTGCAAAACACTCTTTCATAGTATTTAAATAACAAAGTAAACAGAAAACACCTAGGTCACAAATGTGCAGCTTGTGTTTTTACTTTCATATGTTTTGTCTGTATTAGGGGCTTCAGTGTCCTTTATTTTATTAATTGAATCAAAGTAGGTGTACTGTAGGAGTATCATTTTCCCCTGATGCCCCACACAGCTGCTTGTAATCCCTCCTGTTACGCTCTGGTATGTGCCTTTGATGATAGGTTTCATTAATGTCCTTTGTCTCCTCACTTATGTCTAGATGCTTGATGGACTCCGGCGGAGGCATGCCTCCCGGCCCTCCACCAGACCCCTGTCACTCAACTTCAGCACCTTCTCTGCCCCTCCCCCAAGCCCAGACATGGACAGCAGCAGTGAGCATCCAATCAGGAGGTGAGGCTCAGTTTCCTGGGATTAAAATTTCACAACACACAGCATCCTGGAAAATGCATGAAATATTAATGAGCATTCATAAAAATCCCACCACTGCTCCTCCCACATGATTTCATTAAACAACCGTGCTTTCAACACACGTTGACCTAATGATCTCCTAGTGGGATGTTTGTTTTCTCATCAGTTTGTACACTCGCTTTCTGTCTGTGTGTGTGTGTGTGTGTGTGTGTGTGTGTGTGTGTGTGTGTGTGTGTGTGTGTGTGTGTGTGTGTGTGTGTGTGTGTGTGTTGTGTGTGTGTGTGTGTGTGTGTGTGTGTGTGTGTGTGTGTGTGTGTGTGTGTGTGTGTGTGTGTGTGTGTTGTGTGTGTGTGGTGTGTGTGTGTGGGCGTGGAAGGGGGTCTTTTGTTGACTGCATTGCTGTCAGCAGAGAGTTTGTGGAAAGCATGGGTTTAAAATCATAATTTCTACCCCTTCTTCGAGGTGCTGGTTCTCCCCAGTACCTCTTGAAAATATGCAAAACAGTGTTTACTTCATGTTCTGAAATGAGTTAGGATTCAACAGGAAAATATATCATGGAGGGGAGGTTGTCTCATATAGAGCTAGATTGACAAATTCTATGACGACAATATGAATCTGTAAATTACTATTGGCTGATGTAAGGCTAGGCGCTAACAACGATATTTTTGATTTAAAAAACATAGAATAGTGATATCATTTGAGTAATACATATATTATAATACTGTGTGAATAAATGATTTCCTTTTCTTTCCATTCACATTTAATCTCCATAACCAATTATAATTTTCCTTCAAATGTATCTATTAAAACGCAATACCAACGTCAATTCTATTGGCAATGATAATCGTGTAATCTGATATTGTGATAACTCTTGCTGTTTTATTGTTATCATTGATCGTTTTAATATTCCCAATAATCAATAATCATTCAACCTTTTAAACAATCAGTGGCCTACCAGTGCTGGGACACTTATTATATACTCAAAATGTGCAGCTAAACTTTGTTTATATTAATACATATTTCTAAAAGAGATACACAAATGTCCAAAGATATATGTCAAGTTGGATTTGGGAAAATGTGTTCAAAAAGATGTAGAATGCATACTTTTCTTGGATTGGTATAGTCATGAAAATATGGAGCCTTGGGATTAAATATTTCATTCATAAAAGTTCTAAACATCATAAGGAATTGTTCAAACAGGCTAAGATATGTAATACTGTCTGACAGGATAGAAAAATATATGATTGGTCCAACCTTTAAAGCTATGTTAGGCCCGGGGAAATACATTCAAGAGGAAAACCTTTAAACTCTCAAATATCAAAAGCATTTTTAGCTTCAAGATCCGGTATCAGGCTCCTCTAGTCTGACCCATTGCTCTGCTTTTTTACTTTTGTTGTCCTGCTTCAGTTGTGCTGAAAATGGGAGAGCAGGAAAACCTTCTTTATTGTCCCTCATTGTGTCACTGCTTCCTATCCCTGTTGTTGTTGTTAATAAGCAGAACGACTTCCTCCTCTGCCTCCTCGCTGTACAGTGACAAGCACAACAAAGTCCCAACTGCTTCAGTCTGCTTATCCTGCAGTTCCTGCGGCTTCTGTGCATAAATATTTGTTTGCATCAATGATTGTATTGTACTAAAAGAGAGGGAGGAAGTATGCCCCCTGTCAGTGCATGTGCTGTTTCCTCCTCCTCTTCTGAGACTTCAGGCAGAGCGCTGGCCCACCTCTCGGCTTGGCTCCACCCATGCTGCTCTTAACGTGCTGCCCCTCTCTCACCATGCATCATTCTGTCCTACTTTTCTCTTCCTCTGTCAGCGGCTTCTCTTTCTATTGTCATTGTGCTTTTTCCTTCTCTGCATACTCGATCCCTCTCTCAGACTCACACTGCTTATGTTCTCCCCTCTGGCTATCTCCTCTGGGTTCTTCTCTGTATGTCAGCTTGTAGCCTGACCTGCTTTCTCTCCTGTCCACTACTTGTTTCTTACCACTTCCTCTATATCTCCCTCATGAGGACTCTGCACCGGCTGAAGCTGATGAGCTCCCCAAGCCTCAGTGAGCTGGGGAAGAGTGAGAAAAGTTCTCCGGAGGAAAGAGGAGAGAAGCAGAAGAAGGGAGGATCAAACGCCACCTGGAACAGGTACGCTTAATACAACCACGGTGTAAAAAAAACCTCAGCGGCTAAAATAAATGTTGAACTAAAAAAGATTATGTCGTGTTGCAGCATCCACAACGCTGTCATAGCAGTCTTCCAGAAGAAAGGCTTGGCCGATAACGAACTCTACGTCCTCAACGAAGGTGTCCGGTAAGTTTAGAAAGAAACTGCCACACATTCACACAGTACAGAGAAAACAACCTTATTTTAGACCATTGATGTCATTTTGTGATGTAATTAGTATAATCACTGCCTGTCCTATGTTGGCTGACTGAACATTTTCTTGTGAATGAGTTTATTTGTTTGCGTGTGTCAGTGTCAGTATGTGGGTTTGGAAAGTCATGTGGTTATGCAAGATATGTCATTATCTTTCTGAACCAGACCCATCACTTCTATCCTATCAGCCCAGTAAACATATTTCCATGTAAAGAAAAGCAACAAGGAGGTGGACCGACGAAAACAGAGACCTTAGTAGTTGGCTTGACATCCTGGTGTTATTTTTCATGGTGTTACACAGTCACATGGAATGCAGTTCAGTAATAAATTGCAGGTTTAAACGCCTCATTTCCACAAAATAAAGATTTTCTGAATAATGAAGTGTTGTGTGTGAGTCATAAAGTAATCCACATATTTGTTTCTTCAGGCATCTGTTGAAGACTGAGCTGGGGTTCTTCTTCACAGAATACCTTCAGGTAATAAGCTTTTGATATTAAATGATATAAGATAAGGGTTAGTATAAGGCGTCAAAATGAAAGCGGTGGTGTCTCATATATTTATATTTAATGGCATATTTCCTTGTGTTCACAGAACCAGCTGCTGACAAAAGGCATGGTCATCCTTCGGGACAAAATAAGGTTTTATGAAGGTATGGCTGACTGAAAGATAGTCTGAATGCATTTTGTTGTGGTCTGTGTCCATGAACTTAGCTTGAGTCAACTCTATTTCTTCTTTATGTGTTATCAATGCAGGTCAGAAGTTACTTGACTCTCTGGCAGAGACTTGGGACTTCTTCTTCTGTGATGTTCTGTCGATGCTGCAGGCCATCTTCCATCCGGTCCAGGTACACAAATATCTTGCTGCCTGACAACTTCACTGGATGATGATCATTGTTGCTAAGTTCTTCTGTTTTTTATGTTGTCCTTAACGTGTGCGCAGGGTAAGGAGCCCTCTGTCCGACAGCTAGCTTTGCTTCACTTCAGGAACACCATAGTCCTGAGCGTAAAGTTGGAGGACGCCCTGTCTCGACCTCGGGCCCGTGTTCCCCCCTCTGTTACACAGATGCTGCTTATTCTACAGGTAGGCCTGCAACTCAAACATCGAACTAAATGGAATAAAAACACCAACTGTATTTAGACTCAAATTAGTACCTAATTGAATAGAATAGACAAATTAGTTGTGAAAACTTGTAAATGTGATTCAGTAGTCAACAGTTGATTGTCGATCTGAGCCTATTATTGTTTTATTGTATCTAATTTATTTCTTTTGTTTCTTAGTGTCTCAACTATTATAGTAGTAACATTCTACATTTGAGATGTTAGACATGCAAGAACAATCATTTTTGCGATATTATTATTTAATAAATAGCTTATTCTGTGAATAGTTTTTTTCATGGTTCTAAAGCACTAATGAACAGCTTTAGGCTGATTTATACTGGAGTGACTTTGATGCCTGTCTGTCTCTGTCTGGGTTTAGGGGGTCCATGAGTCGCGTGGTGTAAATGAGGAATACCTGAGGCTGGAGTCTCTGATTCAGAAGGTGGTCTCGCCCTACCTGGGCACACACGGGCTTTACTCTGAAGACGGGGCTGAGTCTCATTGCTGTGTTCTGGGTGAGACTGTGAACCTCAAAAAGAAGAGTAAAAATTGCCACGTTTCTGGAAAGAGACATAAAGTTAACCCTCCCTTCCTTCTTTTATGTCTCTCAGAGAAGCGTTCACCGTGGGGCTGGTCAAAGTCTACAGATCAACCGTCTAAAAACCCTGTGGTACGATCCAAAAGCTACAATATCCCTCTGCTGCTGACCCCTGTGGCTGAGTATGACCCAGATGCCAGCTCTGTTGGCAGTGGAGGAATTCGGCGCCACTCGGCCTGCGAGATTATAACATGCCTGGAGGAACAAGGACTGGCTTACGCTGACTTGGCCTCCGGATCTGAACTGTCTGGCCCCTCCTCCAACAGGCTGTGTGTGGGCTCTCAGTTCAATGGTATGTCACAGATTAAGATGTCTGAAAAACTGAAATCCTACTGTAAAAATGCTCAATAATCCAGTACCCTCTCATTCATAGGTATTGTACAAGCGGGAGCGGGTGCCATGGCCTTGCCTCTTTCGTCTGCCTCTATCCATCTCCTTCATTCCTCAGGAGCTCTGCACGGCACTGAGGCTACAACAACAATGACTGATCTCAGTAAAGGTGCATCATCCTCGCCGCCCAGTGAATCATCCAGCCCTGAAACCATTATTGGACAAGTGCTAGACTCTGCAGACTCAGACTCAGATGGGATATTTATTGATTTCCCACCTCACTCCTCAGAGGCTATGGGGTACTGCCGTGACAGCAGGCAGAGCACTGTGTAGCTGTGGCTGCTTTAAGAACACACCCCTCCTCCAGTGTATACGCTGATAATCTGGAAGACAGATTAAAGAATAATTACAAGAACATTTCATTAAATTGGTACCATCTTCCGTTCTTATTAGTCCATTCCAAGTGCTTTCAATGGTGAATGAAAACCTTGCAACTCTAAAGTTTCAACTATTCATCCAACAAAAAACTAAGCAAATCCCAGTGGAATTATTATTATCAATGCTCTAAAATGTTTGACCAAGTTTTGAATTTGGGATATAGTTGCGACTTTATCCAAGCTCTTTATCCTGAGATTTCCAATGTTTTCATTAACACAAAATACGTTGCATTAAGTTCCTAAGGGATAAATCTGGTGATATTCTATAATTTTCTTATTGTCAACAACTCTCTGAAATGAACAGCAATGAATGAATCTCAGAAAGATTTCTTCTGAAGACAAATCCTAATTTATCATGTTCCACTGCCAGACCTCCATCTTGTCCAAAAATACTAAAAACACATGAATGTGCCATACAGTTGCACTAACCTGTTACCTGATTTGAATAAAAACGGGCACTTAAGTTTATAATGACTCAATCAAACATTAAATTTGCTGGTACTGTAAAAACTCACTAGATCATCAGATGTGAATTAATCTGTGGCTGAAAGATGTCCCCAAAAAATGCACTATTAACTTAACTACAGTGCAGAATTACTCAGCTTTTGTGACGCATTTTAGAAAATGTATGTCTTAAAAAGAACAAGATTTGTTGACAATATACAAACGATAATAATATCCTTTAACTCAAAGAGAAGCAAGAAAATCTTTAACTGAATTTAACATCATCATTAGAGTTATGAGGTTTTCAAACAGCATCAGTTTCTTGCCTCTACTAATAAGATGGCCACCATTTACATGGAAAAGTGACAGAAACGTTACATATTTATCATGGATTGTTTTGTATGTGTATTTTATACATTCTGTTTACGCTTTGTTGTCTGCTTTTAGCAGTAACAGTAATGAGGTCTTCTGCTCTCTCTTTTGTACGACATCTTATGAAAATGTTGACTTTTGGATTATTTGTATTGGCGGTCATAGAGGTTTAATGCAAACTTCTTATCTTAGAACAGACATCAGTGTGACAACATTTGCTTTTCTGTATTAGCTCCCTACAGCCGGACTTTGAGGAATGATGATGTTTATTGTTTACATTTGATAAAGACATGAACATTTTGACTGAATGTCGTCTCACACACTGTATTTTGCACCACCACTATGTTGTAAATAGAAATGCATTGTTGTTTTTTAGAACAGCTTGATAGTGTAAAGTGAGCTTTTACCTTTAAATGACTTGAGATTTTAATAAGGGCTTTTTATCTGAATCTTTTTCAAACAATGTTTTACCTCAAGCGTTTTGTACTTTACTTTTTTTGACAATCTATGATGTCTTCGGAGTTGTACTTTGTATTCATTTGTTATACTAGCCCAGTAAAAAAATAAATACATTTGAAAAGTATTTAAAACCATTGCCTTCTTTTAACACTTGATTTGTCATAAGTAAAATGTCCCCCTGATTAATACTGCCAAGTGTATGAGTAGCTACACAGTCTTCTTATGTGCTTGCACATTAAGAAGAGGGGACATACAGTCAAAGCTGGATATATTTTTTATCGTTGAGTCAAACTCCATTAAGCAATCTATAATTAAGGGCCAGGATTTTAGAAAAACTGAGGTCGTAAGTCCAAATCCCCCCAGTGTACCTACCACAAACGCCTCAACTTTGACCAGTGACCGTAAAGAATTAGAATTTTTCATATTTTATAAATAGATTAAAAAAACTAATTTGTGCATGTTTTTATTCGTTTTTATCACCCTCAGGGTTGAGCTTTCCGTATACATTTTGATTGTGGCAATAGTAAATCTCAACTCAAATTCCACTTCATAGATTTATTATATAACTATTCACAGTGGGTGAGAAATGTACTGGACCTGGAGTTAACATGAACTGGGTGTTCTCAATAGAAGCTACAAACCACCTGCAGTTATTTATCAAAACATTTATCAGCTGATAAAATAATTCATTTTTTATTTGGAAAGGGTGTACCGGAAGTCTTCAGCTATTCTATTTAAAAGTATGCTTTTGTTTTGTAAAGACTTACCGGAAACTCGCAGTAACTGCTGGCGGAGTTCATCTGGAAGTGGCTAAATGCTAAATGCTAAGTACACTGTAATGTTCGCTGTCATTGAGATACTTTAAGCTTAAAACTAAATCGTCTGTTTAAAAGTGCTGACGTTTGTGTCGCTGGTGAAGAGTCGGATTTTTAAAAGGTTGACTCCCCTGGTCTACTTGGTAAGACATCTTTCTTTGAACAATGTTTTTTTGGGTATCATGTAAGCTACAAAGCTAGCCACCATACAGTAGCTTAAGTGGAAGTAAAAGAAAAATGGGTCTTTAAAAAAGTGATTTACATTTTCTAAAAGCCTGAGAGCTAGTGGAGGGAGTTTTGATGTGTGAACAAAGTTACCTCCTATTTCTCAGTCAAGACATCCACGAGAGAAAGAGATTAAGCCTGCTGTGTTTTGGTTTGTTTTCAGATCTATCAGTGTGTGTGTGTGGGTGTCCTTGGCTGTGCTCCTCAGTCTCTGTGGTGGGGTTGACCCTGGCTCTGTGCCAGCCCTCTGTAGATGAAGATGTCCCTGGCCCAGCGAGTGCTCCTCTCCTGGATCTTCGCCCTGGTCTTCCTCATCATGCTGGTCCTAAAGCTGGACTCCAAAATCCACTGGAACTGGTTTCTCATCTTCCTCCCTGTGTGGACCTTTGACACAATCCTCATCCTCATGCTAATTGTGAAGATGGCGGGGCGCTGCAAGCCGGACTTTGACCCCAGAGATGGTGAACAGAGCCTGAAGAGGAAGCTGTGGTACCTGACAGCCATGCTGCTGAAGCTGGCCTTCTGTCTTACACTGTGCTCCCGCCTAGAGAGGCTCACTGAAATGTGGGTCAGTTTGGTGTGTATCCCCCTGTGGGTCCTAATGGGTGGAGCGCTGGTGGAGCTAGGACACAATGTTTTCCACTACAGGAGGGAATGAACCACACGACTTTGCAAAACAAGGATTTTAAATGTAAAGTAAGGGAGAGAACCTTTTATGCTCAAGAATGTCTCGCTTGGGATGCACCAATCTGATTCACTATGTGTATCAGGGCCGATACTGACCCTTATAAAGTGGACCGGTATCAATCAGACATATCGACATTATATACATTTTCTTTGTCAATGTCATTTTAACATTCACAGTGTCTGCTGTAAGTTACATTTTATTTAAATCACAGCAGGTAGCAGACTCTATGACGTGTGGTAGCGATCCCAGCAGTGTGCACATTCGTCCACCGTGAGTTTTCGCAAAGTGTGGTTTACACGCTTGGAGATTTCATGTACACTAGTCCACACAGTTTTGCATCTTTAGCATAAAACCAGCCTTAGCATTGTTTTAGCGTTCACATTACTGCCTTATTGCTTTTGGTTGCAGAATTGGATGAATTAGGTCAAGGATAATAAGAACTACAAGAAGATGAACCTATACTTTCGCATGCCACTGGGTTTAAGAGTTAAGGCTAAGCAAACGGAGGCACAGAAGATCTGCCATGGTGATCCAAAACAGTCACTTGCTACACTTAATGTAAACACTAACCCAATCTGCACTAGCATACACTGTGTGCCACTGAGCTATACTACTACATGTGTTTATGAAATCACTGTTGACATTTTCATCACTATCTGATCACTTCTGTAAAGCAGCAGAAACCTCACACATCTCATATGTGATTGTACACACATGTATGAATTATATTTGTCAGCCATCCCAGGATGTCTCTGCCACTGACACTATTTGAATGTAAAACCCTAAATGTCCTCAAATATAAAAGTACTTTTGTAGCACCAAAGTTCATGGTAATTGATCGAATATCCTCATCTCTAGACCAAATACTCTTAAAGGGCCAGTGTGGAGTATCTAAAGGAATTTCTTTGCATAAAGGGAATATAATATTCATTAATGTTTTCATTAGTGTATGAGCCACTATTTCAAGGATGCTACGTCATCGAGTCCCGCCGAAGGACCGTTCCAATGTCCAGGCTCCTTGGAATTCTACCGAGCCCGGCGTCCTTCGTAGAGAGACATTTTGAGGCTGCACATGTGTATCCTCCGCGGTCTTAAAATCCCCACAATGCTTTGCGCACGGACCAATTTCCAAATCTTTGGCGGAAATCGCGCTCCATTTAAGGCGGGGCCTCGCATATGACGCACACCTGTTAGCCTGTTCCACCATTCTTCGTTTTCCGAGGCTAGGAAGGATTCTTGCCTCGCTACTGAAGGAAGTGACTCGGAAGACATGTCCTACCAAGGAAGCGTCCTCGACATTGAGAAACACCCAGTTGCTTCAGAAGCGAGGCAAGAATCCTTCCTAGCCTCGGAAAACGAAGAATTGTGGAACAGGCTAACAGGTGTGCGTCATACGAGGCCTTAAATGGAGCGCGATTTCCTCCAAAGATTTGGAAATTGGTCCGTGCGCAAAGCATTGTGGGGATTTTAAGACCGCGGAGTCTACACATGTGCAGCCTCGAAATTTCCAGCAACGAAGTACGCCGGCCTCGGTAGAATTCCAAGTATCCTGGACATTGGAACAGTCCTTCGGCGGCACTCGATGACGTAGTATCCTTGAAATTGTGGGTGTTTCTCAATCGCGAGTACGCTTGCTTGGTAGCACATGTCTGCCGAGCATCTTGCTTCAGAAGCGAGTCAAGAATACTTCCTGGCATTCGGAAAACGAAGTGTGGAACACGCTAGCAAGTGTGCAGGTGTGAGTCATATGAGAGGCCCCGCCTTACATCTTCCGCCACAGATTTGGGGAAATTGGTCCGTGCGCAAAGCATTGTGGGGATTTTAAGACCGCGAAGTCTACTCATGTGCACACTCGATATTTCTCCAAACGGAGTACGCCGGGCTCGGTAGATTTCCAAGTATACTGGAGATTGGAACAGTACTTCGGCGGCACTCGATGACGTAGTATGCTTGAAATAGTGGCTCTGAAGCAGCTTTACTCGCGATTGAGAAACACCCAGTGTCTCTGGAGCAGCTTTCCTCGACATTGAGAAACACCCAGAATGTTCTTGAAGGCCATCGTAGTACCGACACGCTTTTACAACTGTAGTAGTACCATCGTCTCAATTTGATTGCATTTAAAGTAATTAGTTAGGATGGCCTCTGTGCCAGGCAAATATAATTAAAGTTAACTAAACATTGTCAGTTTTGCAGTTGGCGGCTTGTTACCTCTTGTAAAGGGAGGGAAATCCTACACACTGCCCCTTTAAGTAGCCAGAACAACTTATACTGAAACCTTTATGATATGAAATGCAGTAGAGTCATCGACACCAAGTCATTATTTTTGAACCATTTATTGAGAGGTTCTGATCAGAGTATAAATCACACTACCAAGTCTTATCTTAGGAAATAAAATGTATTTACAACAAAATTTCACATATTGGTTTCAAATAAAAACAGACAGTAAATGATATAAATAAGTTCTATGGAAAATAAAACTTGTCTTACAAAAAATATATGCAATTTCTGTATACATTTTCTCACATTGGTGCTAATAACATCTATACTGTACAGTTTTGGTACATACAGTATCATTTACAGCCCTGTGTGAGTCAAACAACGTCCAGTCTGAAAACAACGACCCGCTCCGATTTGAGAGTGTTAGAAATTACAAACCCCATCGAATAAAGCCACATGGCATTTCAGCAGCAGCGCGGTGAATTGCTGCAATTTCCCCAACAGTGAACGTAGGTAATTCCTATAGAGCGCAGTAAGGATAGTTGTTTTCAGATTGGCTAGTCCAGTACCTAAAATAGGTGCTTTAAGAGCGAAGCTAAGTAGTGCACAGGCACTGACACATGGGTCACATAACATTTTATATAGAGCCTACATACATTCGCTAACAAACGTGAAGTGAGCTACTTAGCTTACATTCTTAGGCACTGATAAAATACTTGGAGTGCATCCTCTTTTTACTACGTCACTGGAGTAATGTGGCTGTCAGCAAAGAAATGGGATGCACCCCGCTCCTCGATTACAAACTAGAAAGACCATTTAAGAAAGGATGCATTTTCAAATATCTTAACAAAGCCATGGCGTAAGTTGTACAGTAAAAAAAGAAGACTAGACATCTAGACATTCATATTAAGAAGTCTTTCTGTGTTTGCGGCGTGTGTGTTTTAAGGGGCTGTTTTAATGAGTGCTGCGGTGGCCGAGTGTCCTGTACGGGTGTGGCAGGTTTTCCCTGCACTGTGTCCTTTGCTTTTGAACCTTTAGAGGGCGTTACTGTCCGACTGTCAGATCCGGGCTTAGAGGAAGTGCCCCGAGAGTCACTGTGATGGTGTGTTTTAGGCCGACTGTCCGTGAAAGAGAGGGCCAGAGTTTGGTGAGCTTCCATGGGCTTAAAGAGGTCAAAGGTGATGAGCGTCCGTGGTTGTTTGTGTTCTGGTGGACCAGAGGCAGCCTTCTTCCTCTCCTCTTTGCTGTAGACGTCTTTGTCCTTCTTCCCATCTTTCTTGACCTGAATGTTTGCCGGTTTAGGAGTGCCTGTCTTCCCGTCTTCTCTCCCCGACTTTGCCTGCGTACTCAACGTGTTTCCCTCTCTGCCCTCCCTGTGCCCGCTTTTCTCCTTCTTCCCGTGCGAAGGCTTGTGTTTGTTGGAGCAGGCGTCTCGGGCCTCCACTCTGTCCGGCCGTAGGTGAGACTGTGATCTCTCCCGGTCTTTATCGTGCTCCTTCTCTTTCTTAACGTGGACTTGTGTCTTTGAGTCCCACTTCTCGTCTCTCTGTGCAGACAGGGAAGTTTGAGAGGTTTTAGTTCCCTCCCTTGTCCGCTCCTCGTCCTCTTTTTTCCTAATGGGCGGCAGTGTTGATGTACCTCCCTCTGCTTTAACCCTCTCCTGCTCTCTCGCCCTGTCCCTCTCCCTGTCTTTCGCCCTCTCCTTTTTATCCCTTTCCTTCTCTTTACTCCTCTCCTTGTCTCTCTTTTCTTTCTCTTTAACCCTCTCCTTTTCATCCTTTTCTCTCCTTCCTTTGTCTTTTTCCTTTTTGATTTGTGGTGTGTTGTAATTGCTCATTATACTATCTTTAGTTTTCTCTTTTAGACCTTGACCTGGTACAGTTGTCTTTTGCTGCCTCTCTTCCTCTACGTCATTCTCCTTCCTAATTTGCGGTGTTGACTTAAAAGATGGACTTTCCACTCCACCCTCCTCGTGGCCCTTCTGCAGTGCCTGGCATGAGTCTTCACCCCCTCCCTTGCCTTTCTCGTCTTCCTCAGTTTTAGGCTCCATTAGTGTGTGAGTGAGCACACCTTCATCTCTCTCCTTCTTGACGAAAGGTAGAGACTGTGCCGTTGAAAAGCTCTTGATTTCGCTTCTGATGTCTTTCTCTTCCTCCTTGAAGGTCTGTGTCTGAGTTTTCGAGGGCGGTGTGTCCTCTTCCTCGGAGTCCTCATACTCCTGCTTCGGCACCATCTTTGCAGCAGGCTCAGGCTCCTCCTCCTCTTCTTCTTCTTCTTCTTCTTCCTCCTCGTCCTCCTCTTCTTCCTCCTCCTCCTCCTCCTCCTCTTCTTTGATATGAAGTTTTTCTTCTCTAGGTGCACACTTCTCTTCCTTCACCTCTTCCTCCTCCTTCACTTCGTGTTGGTGATACTGTTTGAGTCGGATGTGCCAGGCCAGACTGCAGACAGCGGCCACGGTTTTGAACTGGTGGACGACTCCTCTGGGAATGAAGTAGATGTCATCGTGGTAGAGTTGGATCCGGGCGTATCGGATCCCCTCCCTCCTTAGCTGGTTCAGCTTGGCATCATCAATCCACTGCACACACTGTGGAGGCAGGGACAAGAACAGACTCCGTAATCCCGAAATAAAATGAACAAGTATTCAAATGATTGCATGGTAGAAAAAATAACTTGTAGTGGGGAATCCCTCTACTTTAAACGGATTACCAGGTGTCAACGAGGCATTAAACTGTAAACACAATTTTGACACATTATCATTTGATAAACTTGATATGGTAAAACTGTTATAAGAAAGCTTAAATACATCCACCAGACAGAGCATTATCATGTTTCTGGCAACACGCCAAATGTTAGTCCCATATTTACTCTCCGAGCTTTGTTTTTGATACATTTGATAACAGCAGAAAAGATCTAGTCATACTACTGTGTCACATTAGCCACGGTTTATAGCTCTGACCCACCTGAGACAGCGGAGGTTCGTGTAGGTCCAGCTGCAGCCTCATGACCACTTCTGGGAAATCCCCAGCGTGAAAACACACAACATCTTTGGTGATTCGGCCAGGAGCGTCAGTGCTGCAGGGCAGAATGCAAAGTCCTGTTTACTGATCGGATGTTGTATTCTCTTAAATGCAAGTGTGTGTGCACTGTGTGTGATAAAGGTGTAAAACATGTCACGGTGTACTCACTCCTCTCCGCAGCGCACAGCCTTCAGCACACCTACGGCAGCAGTAGTTTGTCTCTCAAAGCCCTGACCAATGTGGTCGGCGTGGGCTCTCGTCCGGTCCTCAAACAGCATCTCCCTGGGCTCACTGGCTCTGGGTAGGTACTGCAGGTTCTTTATCTCATTGGTCGACCTGAAATACATTTATTCACAACAGTCAGGATATGTAGATGGTAAATTACCTGTACATGAGATGAAGTGTTGAAATGAGCTGAAAGTATTACACTTGTTTTGCTGCATCAGCCTTATAAAAAAAAAAAGAAGAAGTAATTATGCTGGGAAGACATTGACAGATTAAATATGTCAACCCACCTTTTCCTTTTGAATGGTGATTTTGGCATGTCTGCCATTGGGATCATCTGTTCTCCCGGTCTGACCCACATGATGGGGCCGTCGTCGCTCTCTGTGGGACTGTGCAGCCGCAGACTGGAGAACGTTCCCCAGGGCAAAGTCCGCTGCATTATCACAGGGTGAGAAAGCGTTGAGTTACATAATGACTCTGAGTCATGCATGGGGGGGAAAGAGAGACAGACGTTCACAAGCCCAAAGGCTGTAAAGGTGTATGCACATGCATTCATAACAAACACACTGACCTCCAGAAAGGGAGATTCCTCTAACATGTTGATGAACTCGGGGAAGTAGTCTCCGACCTCTTCGTCCACAGCCCCCACCAGACTGACCTGCCGCATGGCCCCGGCTCGGTACGTTCCCTGGGAATATGTCCGCTTCACCTGCAGGAGGAACCACAGAGAATAAGATCAGACCCACCAAGCAGGTACCAAAGTATCCCACTCTGACAGGTGACAAGACATATAAGGCTGTTGCAAATAGTTTGAAGCTATGTTGACATTTCAATTCAATGGTTGCTGCACAACTTTATTTTGTTTAGCATGTCTCTTCAATTTGTCTAAACCTGTTCCGCTCAGTTTTAAATGCAGAGCCGTGTCAATTCCTAAAGTCAAAGATTATTGAAAAACACATGGGTTTAATCATTTACAAAATGTACAGCATGTTTTTTTTCTAACAAAATATTCTGCTTTAGTCCATACGTTTTGGCGTTCAGCTTGTTAAAGGTCCCATGTCATGGCCATTTCTACTGATCATAATTCCATTGTTGAGGTCTACTAGAATAGATTTATATTGTGCAATTTTCCAAACTCACATTGGTTTCTTACACAGCATCTCTGTATAGCATGTGTATTCACTCTGTCCTAAACGGCTTGTTGGAGCTCCTGCCCCCCCTCCCTGTGAGCCCACTGTGCTCTTGATTGGTCAGCTCGCCCACTCTGTTTTGATGAGTCTACCACTGTTACAGCGGAACATCAGTGATTATGTGTTACAATGGCGTTAGCAACCAGAAAATGAAACCAGTAAGGACAAACAGATGAGAATGCTGCGTAGGGTCTGGGTGCCGTGTTGGCGGGACGTTGCGCGGCTCGCTGCTGCGAGGAGCGGACAGTGTGAGCTGGGTTCATTTCCTGCTTGCTGCGTGGGATCTGCGAGACAGCGAGACATTGCGAATGGACGCGGGAAGGCGGGGGGTGCTGAGGGGGCTGCAGCACCCCCATCTGCGAGGCTCCACTAGCACCCGCACCCCCAAACGCGGCGCACCTACAGTGTAAGCGCGCCACAGTTTCGCCACTGCGAGGCTCCAAGAAAACAATGGAAAAAGAGAGATCTCCAACGAGGCGTTCTGGGGCAGCATAGACAGGTCTTTTCTGTGTTAGAGTTTTACTCGCTACAGGGTGTACTTTGAGGGTTTGTGACTTTGCAGACCGTTTACATGCATAAAAACCTTCATAACACACAAGGGGACGGGTAATAACCGGAAAAGCATGACATGGGACCTTTAAGAACAATCTTTTCCCTGCAGTAAAATAACCTTTCACTCTCACACTAAAGTCTCTTAAGGTGAGGAGATTTTTAAAGTCTTTTTAGGGTGAAGTCAAGTTTGTTTCAAAAACCTTTGTATTTATATAAAAAAAAAAAAAAAAAAAAAAAGACATTAGGAAAAGCCCTACTAAGATGTATTTACTGCCAGCAGAGACCTTTTTCTAAAACATCATATTCATTTTTTATACATGCTCGTCTTACAATTAAAGCTCACACTGTTGGTGTGTTCTTAAATGTGACCTTTCCAGCGCACCTGTCTTTGATAAAGCACTCGCTAAGAGCTCAGCTTGGTAGTCAACAGGACCTAAGGCACAAAGATTTAGATCTTTGGAGGAACTTGGACGATACGATACGGGTTGTATCCGCATAGTTTCTCTTGCGTATAGCCCTTTCGTTTACACGAGGCCGTAACAAAACGATAGAAACGGACCCCGCAAACGATAACGCGTCCCAAGGTGGATAGATCTGCAAACGGAACGCTCTGGGGGGGGCAAACGGCTCCGTGTGTACGTCCTATACGATCATTTCCTGATAACGATGAAAAAGCCCCGCCTCCCTCTCGCCCCGCGTCTCCCTCTCGCCCCGCGTCTCCCTCTCCCCCCGCGTCTCCCTCTCCCCACGTCTCCCTCTCCCCACGTCTCCCTCTCCCCACGTCTCCCTCTCCCCACGTCTCCCTCTCCCCACGTCTCCCTCTCCCCACGTCTCCTGCTCAGAGATCAGCTGCTGGGCTGTCAGAAGAGGGGGAGGAAAAGAGAGGCTCCGTGTATTATTCTTATATTATTATAGAGAGTCGTTATCAATTTGTTTTAAAGCTCAATAAATAACAAAGAAGACCTCTGACCGGCACTTTTCTAATTTTGTCCGGAAGATTTAAACTTGACCGGCAAATTTTTTTTTTAACTGAAACTCTGCTGCACGGTCCCCTCGTCCCTTGGAAGAGGCGGAGAGGTGGGTGTTTTTCATCTGCTGGTGGACTACCGGAGAGAATTACAGCAGGAGCACACGCCGTCCACCGCGGAGAATAAACAGAAGGGCAACCATGGCAACCATGCTCCGGGGTCTTCTTCGCTGCTTTTGGTGTATTTTGTGGCAGCAGCAGCGCCACTTACAGGCCTGGCATATGTACTACAGCGTTTCCAGCGGTCTCGTGTGAACGGACACGTTAAATGAATCGAATGCGTGTGAACGGAAGACTTTTTTGAAAACGCATACGGTGCGTAAACGCAAACGTTCCCGTGTAAAGGGGTTCTAAGAGAGGCAAATGTCAACAATCAACTTCAAAAAGGTGAGCTTTTGTTTCTCTGAGGAAAATAAAACACTTTTAATAAAAGGAAAGGAATTGTGGATTATGCTAGCAAATTTAGACAACAGTCTGACAACAAAACCAGACCTCATGTTCGCATGAGTCCATGTCAAACATCAAGACTCTTCTGAGAGGCTCATTAGAGAAAATATTATAACCCACATTAAGTCTTTGACAATGTTTTGTATCTGTATGGCTTTTCTGTTAATTTTACTGTTATTGGGATGTTTCAAGGCATCACATTTTAAAAGAGGAGCTCCAAAGTAATATTTTGGTTGTTTTTGAAATTCAGTGTGCAAACTTTTAATGTTATGTTTACAAACCGACAAATCCTACTTATTGTGCCTGTAAATGTCTGTCTTTTAACAATGATACATAATGACTACAGAATGAATTGATATTGCCCCGCAAGTGTTTATTTAAATCCTGTCAATGTCTTAAAATTGAAAAAGGACAGGCAGCTACTCGTAAACATTTGACTATTTTGAGCGTAAAGCCACTTCTTGCAAGTCTTAATGTTAGCATAAGTCCTGAAAAATTGTGAAAGTCTTCTTACAGATCATCAGAACTTTGAAACTAATCTATATTTGATCTACTCTGGAGTCGGTTACTTCCAAAGGGTCGACTACACCATGACCGCTCTATTCTTCTCTCCGTGTGGAAGGATTTATTTCCAGCAGAAAGATTAGCCTAACTGTGCATTAAATGTATGCCAGGACCGTTTGAAGATGAACAAGAAGCGTGAACATGTAACATATGGCATTCCCACCCAACCACCACCAGGCCTCCATTCCCCCAACGTTTGCCCCCAACACAGCAAAAGAAACGGGACCTTTTTTTAATAGTCATTTTTGCTATATCCTGTCTCAAAGTGCACTTTGCTTACCATGAGAACCCTACAGCAAAACTATTTTTAAAAAGGAAATCAAAAAAGTTAAAACATGCTGCAGCATCAAAAGATGGGATGCTATAAAATGATGATTCTGGAAGTGAGAAATGAAGCGCCCAGAGTCTGTGACACACAGCCCGCAGGAACAAGCTACTGTGGGATAAATGTGCATTGTTTTTAAAAACGCGCATATTTCACTCTTGAGCCAAGCTACATTATACAACACATGTAGCCCTGTATCAATTTCTTCCACATGTAAGTCCAGTGCCAGTAGAAACCCTCTCTACTCTGACAGATCCCGTCAGTCATAAATCATTCAGTCACACCAACTGTGCTGCGTAACCATCTAACACGGCCCACATTATCAAGAGACATTAATCACAAACTGGCTGAATTAAGATAATATGCTAAAAGTTGCACTGAGTTTAGTTTTATTGAGGACAGCAACAGGATGAAATGCACCATCTGCCTTATGTTGGTAGTGGATGAAGTCATGATGCCAGACAAGCTGGAGCAATATCTGATTACAGAGCACTCAGAGTATCAGGACGATTGTGAGAGAGACCATGGGAACATTTCTCCCCCGTTAGGGATTTAACCATCAATTTCTAAAAAACTATTCAAATGATGGGTTAATACAGTCTGTGAATGAGACTAGGGGGGCATCATTTCTGACTTTTCAATATAATTAAACTCACTGCTGTGTCAGTGATCAGATTTCTTAAACATGTCTTAGTTTATGGAAGGTATTGTGGATATTTTATATTCAAATCATTTGTAGAACGAGTTCTTGGTGCTAAGAAAGATATGTACCAAATTATAAGAGTTGATATTAATATCATTCAAGCTCAGGTGCAGGAGAGAAACACTGTCAGGTCTCACATGGAAAACAATGAGACCAAAACATAAAATTGCAGGTTTCTGATTTACACAAATCTTTTGCTATTTTGTGAAAGGTCCTTTCTACAAGCAATCCAAGGCAAATGCTTTATTCACAGATCGAGCACGCTGCACTGGTGTTCCTCATGTATTTTCTGACCTGTCTTTGTATGTGAAATTAACTAATACCACAGAGTCTTGATTTAGATTTATAATTTCTGATTAGTTTCACCTTTTTTTGGAATTAAGAAGTCGAACAAGATTGATATCAAATCTGTTAAATAAGAAAGTAAACTGATAAGAAACTCCTGAACAAATCAAAACACAACCAAGTGAAGGCAACACTCCAGATCATCTCTCACAAGTGACAGGAACTGGTGGAGAAGTAAAGAGATAACAACCACACAGCCCCAAACTATTTGCTGTCATCTTTACACAGCAATCACTTTTTTTAAACTCAGACAAGTATCGAGTATCTTCAGAGGCTGAAAGCACAACGCAATCTGAAGGAGCCATAATCTCCAAAAACAGGAGCTTTTCAATAAACCATTATGTTGAGTTACAACATGTGTTGGACGTGTATTGGCAATAAATTAAAGGTCACCATCGAGTTCTTTTTAACCAAATATCTCTCAGTGGGGCGAGGGGAGTGGCTCCTTATTTTAATCTAAAGTAACAGACAGAGAATCAGCACTTTTGAAACAGGGCTGAAACAGAGAGGTTTATGGGATGCTACAATGCATGATCTGTTTGGTATTTGGAGACAAACACTTCAGAGACATGTTTTGTATATATCTGATACCTATAATATATTGATGAAAAACAGTATAATAGGGAACCTTTAAGTATCTTGATACAGGGGTATCATTCAATAGAACGCAATTATTTCAATACTGTAAGAAAGACTCAATATTGGAATTTTATATAGTTAAATTCCAGGAACACTGTCAAAGTATGCAGAACACGGCGTTATATACCTGCAGTTAAGTAAATAATTGTTCTTTTTTATGCAATCAGAACAGTAGAATGGGTATTTGCATCCATCACAGTCTTTGTATCTAAAAACATAGCACAACTTTTTCTTTGCAAACTGAGCCACTGTCTGCCACAGATCTTTGCACGTAAAACAATCATTGGAAAAGTATTGTGTTTTCGAGAATCGATACAGTGTCAGAGAACATATCACAATACTCATGTGTATCGTTGCTGTTTTGTTTTTTTAACCCCAAGCATTAGGGCTCCCTCCTTCATAACAAATCTTGGATGCTGAAACACAGGAGTAAAGATGGTTGGAGGCAGTGTAAAAAAAGATAAACCTAGTGACAGCCTGAAAGAAAAAGGGAAGCACAGATAACTTTATATCACAACAAGGTTTATGTGTTGTCTCAGTTTGTGCTGGTCAAACCTCCAGACTTCAATCTGACACTTTGCAGTATCAAAGTGTACACACAGCATCCTTTTAAACACAGAGCCTTCAAACTATGCTGTCTACCAAAGATAATCTTACCTGAGAGAGGAAGTTGACCATGGTTGTCGTCTCTATGTCCTTCTTCCCGAGCACCTCCATCTTTACTGGGGCATTGGGGAACTTGTAGGAGAAATAGTCCAGGAAGTCTGGGAGGTAGGATGCTGCTCCATGGATGATTCCCATCACAAAGCTCGCAGCCTGGCCCTCTTCCTCGCTGAATGAGAAAGTCACAAACTCCTCGGCGAAACGCTGCATCTCCGCCGAAGACAGGGAGGAGAGCTGCTCCATGTAGGCGTGCGCCACAGACGCCCCTCCGTTGGCCTGCTGCTCGATGTGGATCAGACGACCAAACTCCAGACCCGACAGGCCCGGCGCAGGGGTGCAGTGGAGCGGGGAGCTGTAAGCGAGCCGGTCCCTGACCATGGAGGAGATGGAGGCAGAGGTAGCGGGATCCGGGTGTGGATGTGGTGCTGTGGTGTTGTGGAGTAGACTGCTGCTGCTGCTGCTGCTGCTGCTGCTGCTGTTGTTGCTGTTTCCATTGATCCGACCGAGGAACTCAGGCGGAGACAGAGACCCTCCTGAACACACCGTCTGGCTGGAGCGATGGTACATCTTGGGTCTGCTGTGTCTCTCCTTCACCCGCTCGCCATCTTTGTGCTTCTTTTTCTTCTTCTTCTTGAGTTTCTTCAGGAGGAGTTCTTCATCAGAAACAGCTTTGGGCTTCTCGTTGGATTCTGTAGTGAAAGATAAGACATTTGTAAAGTAAGTACAATGTTGTGCATCATTTGAGGATAGTATGTGACACAATATCATAGAATTTACATTATGTGTGAAGACAATTTTGCATAAAGTAAGAACAGTGTTATTAATGTAACAGTATGTTAATGTCTGGCTTGTGTTTGACACACATTTATAATTCATGAAAATTGAAATGTTCTCCTCTTAGAAATGTATGTTTCAATAACATGTGTATACAATTGATAGAAATCGTATGTAATCATATTGGACTCATTTTTTACAATTATAGATTACTTGAGAAAAAGGGTCTCAGCCATGCCTCTTAAACTGTAACATATTGAAGAAACTTTTAAAATGTAAAGTTAACCCCTAAAACTAAAATGACTTTTCATCCAAACTGGTCCAAGTTACATGTCATCCCTACCTTTCTCTGGGGAAATCACTTCTCCGTTTTCTCTTGCAATGTCATGTACAGGTGGCAGTTTGTGATTGTTGCACTCTTTGCTCTTTTCCTTCTTCTTTTCTCTGTCTTTCTCCTTTGCATTGTGATCTGAGAGGAAGAGACAGACAAGGTGAAAAAGCTGCTACATCCATGCTGAGCAACATAACTGAACAAACATTTCCACGTGTATGTATCACCATCTGGGCCTAATAAATACTGGGGCCCGCGGTAGAGAACATTATGTAATATTTAAAGAATCATAATATTGCAGCAATGCTTCACAAACTACTTAATTTGAGCACAAAGTGGTGTAACAGAGTGCAGTAGTGAGCAAGCTGGCTGTGAGCTCCTACCTCTCTGTAGCATTTTCACGTCTCCGTTCTCGGTCTTTGTATGGCAGCTAGCAGGGCTCAGTCTCTCCTCACCAGCGGCGGAGCTCTGCTGCGCTTCACTGCTTTTCTCCTTCTCCCTGTGCCGTTTCTCTTTCGTCTTTTTCACTTTAAGTGGCGAGGCGAGGAAGTTGCTGATTTTGAAGATTTTCCGAGCGGGAGTAGCGGGCACCGCGGCGGCGGTAGAGAGGCTCGCCTTGGCCGGGCCGAAACTCCATTTCGCTGGGCTCCCACAACTCTGCTTCCCGTTGTGTTTTTCCCCTGCGCACACCTCTCCGTTCAGTTTCCTGTGCTTCAGGCCCTTCTCCTCCACCCGGACCTTCTTTGGGGCCGGCGGGTAAATGTCGCTGGAAGACTGCGGTCGGCTCTCCGGCGGACGTTTAGCTAATAGGGGTTTAGGGGAATTTGTTTTGCTGTTTGCTGCGAAATGCATGGAGTCCACGGCCTCGGCCATCTTGGAAGTTTCTATTTTTTACGGTCGGACGTAACTGGTGCGTGAGAGCCAGGCCGGGGGCGGGGCTTCGAGGCTACGTGCTGACGCAGGGAGGAGGGAGAGCAGCAGACTGTTTACAGCAGGGGTGGGGAACCTTTTTCCTCTCAAGGGCCATTTCAATTTTTTCAACATCCTCCGAGGGCCGTACAAATTATTGACCTCTGCTTAAAAATACTAAAATCACAGCCCATTCATTTCGCCTTTCTTTCATGCTGTGCAAAGAAAAAGCAACCTCTTAATCCAGATATTTTACAATGACTCGCGTATGCACGTGCACGGTTGTGGCATGACCACCAAAACAGAAAGAGATGGACACAAGGTGTGTGCAGATGTATTTAGTTTCCTGATTTAAGTGGGGGGACCTAACCTCCTCTAGCGGGGTCCGGGGGGCTCCCCCGGGAAGATATTTTTTTAAATGTTGAAGTTGAAAGCATCAATCTGGTGCACTTTGAGAGCAACTAAGAGATCTATGGATACATCTCTCAACATCCATATGAAACAGAACTGTAAGCACATTTTATTTTTACAAATCACTCCCCTTTTAAACTGTATTCTTGTTTATTAATAACAACGTTTTTTTACTGTCATATAGTATTTAGTTTACTTTATTCTCTTATTTTTTTATAACTATAATGATCATATAAAGATGTGCCTTTCCCTCACTGGTTGTAGAAAAAGCTTCTTATATTCGTTAGCATAGCTAGCTAACCAGATGCTAATAACAACAACGTTATTGACTGTATGATCAGTATGACAGATGAACAGATCGCCACTGGGCTTTCAACTAAAGATACAGCCACGCAAAAACTGCAGCATGTGTACGGCTCCTTATGGGTACTGCAATATCTGAAGTGGCGGAGCCACGTTCTGGTGCTCTACTACACCCCTGTCAGACGAGACATATACCACGTGATGACACGTTAGGCTCGTGTTGTGTTCAAGGAACCAGACCTTGGCCGGGACAACAGGCACTCGCTTGTTTAATTATTTTGCGGTCTAGATTTCTTGAATTTTTTCTTTTATGCGTGTGTTTATAAATTACCTCGAGGGCCGTATCGAATGGTCTCGCGGTCCGTATACGGCCCGGAGGCCGGAGGTTCCCCACCCCTGGTTTACAGCCTGCAGGACAAGAGACAGTACTGTACCGCTCACTGTGCACACTGTGCAGGTTCACTGCAACACCACCGACACACAGCTGCTGCTGACAGGAGGGGGCATTCATGAGCTCCATTATTGCACATGTTACTATGCTGGGTTTTATTATGCTGGAACAAAAAGTCGGACGGATCTATGATCAATATATGAATAACTATTCATAATTAACCTTTGGTTTTTTAATAATGGTTGAAATATCACATTTTACAGAGGGCTAAAATCTCTAAAATGTACTGCATAACAACACATATATTGACAGAAGTTAAAAGGAAACTATCTGATTATGATTATACTGTTGCACCCATCAAATACATCAAATATGTTTTGTTTTTATGATGGAAATGGAAACATTATTTCTTACTACAGATAGGTGGAATATATATATTTATCTAATAATTATTCATCCTTTTCTGATAGGCCTTCTCAAAATATCTAGAAATCAAAACATATTTAAACTAGTTTTTCATATACTTTGTCATGCCATGTTTGAGCAATAATATTTTGTATATGATACAGCAAAGCATAGTAGATTCAATGATGAGATATTTCTTAAAGTTTCCACTAGATGGCAGTATATTGCCGTAAATATATTGAGGGGAATTTTGTGTGAAAATCATCACACCTATTGAACCTCGCAGCTGTGTTTTTAGGGCTCCTTCAAAAACAGTCACAACAGTGGGAAAACATACTCATTTATATTGCACAATAACATGTAGTCAATAGTTGAACTAATTCCAAGATCTTTGTACTATTGTTCATTTAATGACTACATTATGTGATTACAAATCAATACCATGCCAAAATGCTGTCTTATATAACATACTTATAGTGAATTAAATGAATCTTTCTTTTATGACAGAAAACAAAACAAATTCTGCAAAGCAAGGAAGAAAAGTTCCTACCAACCATTCAGTGAAGAGGTCCTGTCTCAGTTAACATCCATTTATATGTTGCTGGTGTCCGTATCTGCAGACACTTAAGTAGAAATATTATTCTGTCAGAGCGATTGGAACGGTAGTGTACACAGTTTTCATCAGCACTGACATTGGCTTACTCTAAAATGAGATTTGTTTATTTCTCTGACCCAAATTGTTCAATGGGTGAATGTTACACAAGCACTGACACTTAAACAGTCGCCATAGAGAAGACAACAGTTATTGCGGAATAATAAAGTCCAAGGTTATTTTTGGTCCAATAACACAAGGCAGTGCAAACAGAATAATCCTTCAGAGCACCGTTAGCAGCAATGAAAATTACATTTACTTAAGTACAAATCTGAGATTGAGTATATTCACTTCAGCCTTCTTCTTTTTTACAGTGTTTACAGTTATTGTTACTCCCCCTTGTACCCCCCTTCACTATTGCCGATAATTCCAATGTAACATGTACTGTAAATCTAATAACCATCCTCAGGCTTACGGAAATTATTGATGTAGAATTGTTGAATTGTTATAAAGAAGCAGAAAGATCAACAACGGTGACCTCAGTCACACATTTCTGTGGATTTGCATGTAGTCCATCCACCATCAACTGTGTTTTGTGCATGGTTTCTATTAACCACAGCTGGGAAATACACAGATTGCAGCATACATCCTCCAGTATGAACATCAGGATATCATATGTAGAAAAATCAAACAGCTTAAATGTAATGCTTTTTGGAAAATGTATATAAATATACTTAAAAAATGTGAAATAGTCTCGCCTGTCATGGAATGACACTCATTTATTTCTGGTGAATGCAGGGTCTTAAATGATTCCACTTACACCTTGAAGTCCAGTGCATCTGGTGACAGCAGTAGATAACCCGTTCCCACATTACGCCTGCTTCACTATCCTTCATAAGGACACATTCATTTCAAACAGGGACTTAATGAAGTCCAGGCTTCTGGATTAGAAACTAATTGACCTGACGTTATCTGGTGTTGGCTTGCTGTAGGAAATCCAGCACAGATGTGAGGCACTGTTCATATTTAAAAATCTCTTATCAGTCAATTGACAGATGAAAAATATTTTCACACATGGCAAAAGAATGTATCAGTTATTCAAGAATTAAGATGTTAGCTATGAACAATGCATGTGAATATGTCTGTGTGGTGTGTGTGAGGAAGAGTAAGAAAGAGACAAGGAGAGATACCTTACTTTAAGCAGATGGGCTATAATATTATACCTGTTTTGTTGAGAATATATGTGTATTTGTTATGGGCATGCAAAAACGGATTCAGTACAATAATATTGAGCAGGCAGGTTTATACCTTCAGACAGGAGGACTGAGTTTGGTATAAGAAGTGGCTGGCGCTGCACTACGACAGTCATTGGGTTCACTCCCGTTCATTTGGAAATGGGAAACTTATGCACATAACAGACATGACCGACGACACTGGCTCCTCTGCCCAAAGTGGAGGGAGATGAAGTGGTCTGCCAGTAAGCCAGGCAGTAAAGCTGGACTGATGGTTAGATGTTTGTTCTAGTCTGCATGGAAAAAACCTCAGTGTTTACATGATCCAGGACAGAGAATGGGCCAAGCCAGCTCTCTGGGGGAATTCAAAACACTTTATCCCAAGAGGGCACCCTGAGGAGAAAAAAACCTGCTGTCCATAAATGGGTAAAGCCAGGAATATTATTGGGGAAACTTGAGTTCCTGTGAGCCCGCTGCAGAACAAAATAGATTTGTGTACTTTGGCTTCTATCAAATAAAATTGACCCTTTTAGTCTCCATCAACTGCATTAATCATTACTGGTCTTCATGCACCCCGTTCTTCAGGTTCGTTGTGGCTGTCTGAGATTTATGCTTCGCTGTAAAAGTTGTGGCTCTATGATTATAAATCAATACAGCCTAGTGTTCAGACAGAAGTCTTCCGAGAGTGTAAACATTTCTCTCTCACTATTTCCCAGTCTAAGTGTTGAAGTAACAAAGTGACTGTGAAAGGTGAAAGGACACTTATTCATAGATTTTATCCTGCCAACAGTTGTCCAATGTCAAATGAGCTCATAGCTGCATTTGCGTAGAAGGACTTGCGATGTAAAGCCATATAGTATTTCTGGATAGATAGTTAGTTAGTTAGTTAGTCTTTATCTCTAATCTTACAATGTCTTCATAGTGTGTGGTTGAAACATATAACAGCTTCCTTTCCAAACTAAAATCTGAATCAATGTAATCATTTTCTTTAACTTATCAAAGGATAGAAGTTGTTGTTCTGTCTCTGGAAGTAACTAACAGTATTTGGAGTTTTCTTCCAACTCGTTTTCTCATCTCTAACCTGACGCATCCCACAGTTCTCTCCCTGAACAAATGGTTTCCTTTCTCATTATCAAAGGACAGTTGAAAAATCTCTCCAGATGGTGCAGTCTCAGATCAACAGGCCAATGAAAGAGACAGAGAACATAAGTGCACAAAGATCACGTTTCCTCACAGCCTCAAGATTAGACTATCTAACTAATCTTATCAAGCATTACAAATGGACACATTTCTAAAACATCAAACACTCGCATTGCATGCCATCAATCATATCTCATATCCTGTGGTTGAACTGACATTTACACCCCGGGTCTGAGAAACTAAAGCCTCATTATCTAAACTCCCTGCCAAGCAGATGCCTGATTTAGTTCATGTGACTGTGTTTTCTCTCTTTCTTTGTTCTAAATATATGTAGACACAAGGAATTAGCAAAGAAACAAAAATCTTGGACGAACGGCAGTCTGAATGCAGCGAGCTTAGCCTCTCCACCCAGAGATTGTCTCACCATTCTCAACACTTGTCGAAGATTAGTACTGTCTGGATAAAGTCAATAGAACATGATATATTTCTCTCTCCTGGCATTGCATTTGAATCAAGCAGCCTTCTTGGATAAATCTGACATTCCTGACTTTCATTCCTTTTGAACATTAACTAAACCATGCGGCGTACAGTAAAATAAAACATGTCTTTGTAAATCTATTATTTAGCTTAAGATGCATATTCTGACCTGTCACATCTGTCACTCATATGTTTGTGCACACAACAGGAAGCTGGAGAAGCGCCTGCCAAAGCAACAGAGACACACATGCACATTAAGGGCCATGATGCACATCATGGAGTGAGAATGCGTTACAAATGGTCTTCATTAATGGTGTGATTAAATTCATGATACTTTGGAATGTAATAATAGGAATACAATAAGGCATAGGCTTTTTAAAGCTTTCACAGTTTGATATTTTTCCTGACTGAAATATAATTACTATGGCTGATTATGCTTATTTTATAAAGAAGAAAGTAGTAGTTTTAGCATCTGCTTAAGCTTCATGCTTATCATTCACTATCTCACCATCTAGTCCATCTACTGGCAAGTACACCCACACAATCCTCTCTTGCTTTTTTGTGTAACCTGTTTTATTCTCAGAGCTTCTCGCTCCTCATTTCTCCCCTTTACTCACTTTCCACTGAACAGCTCTATCAGTTCCCCCTCCCTCCTCTTCTTCCTCCCGCCTTACCTCCTCCTCTCACTGTCACTGTCTCAAACTGAGGTGGGTCTTTTTTACACTCTCTCCCTCTTATCCTTTTAGTCTTTGCTCTCAGGACGCCATGAAGTTAACAGCACTCTGCATGTGTGGGACCCTGCTGGCCTTCTTGAGCCTCTCTTGGACCACAGCTGATGAAGGGGACCTCTTCTGGGATCAGGAATTTGGACCCTGCTCTGCAACTCTGAGACCTGAGGGGCCGTGCAGGCAGGGGCAGGATGAGAGCATGTGTCCATACAGATTAAGTCTGCCTCCGCTGACTCTCCATTTGCCAAAGGAGCTCAGAGAGCTGGAGAAGATTGTAAAGGATTTACAGAATCTGAAGGACAATGTGGACGAACTGAGGAAGATGTGTGCAGATTGTACAGTAAGCCAAACTGAGAGAGAGTGTGGAAGCCGTAGAGAAAGTGAGCAGGAGAAGCTAAATGAGGGTATAAATAGACATATTGATGGGAAGAACCGGCTGAATGAGAAAAATCGTGAGACGCAAAAAGAGTGTGGAACAGACAGAGTTAAAGTGGAAAAGACTATGGAAGGAGAATTAGGATATGGTGACACTGATTTTGATAAAATAACGAGTTTAGAAGAGAAAAGGAGAAATAAATGGGAAGCAGAAAGAGAGAGCAATAAACGGTTCTTAAAAGAAAATAAGAAAGAAGAACCCCTCAAAGAAGAGGCAGAAAGCAATGGAGAAACTAAGAAAGAGGGGGCAAAAGAAAAGGAAAAAATGGACCAGACAAAGTTGACAACTGCTGCCGGAGAGGAGAGAATAGTGGATACGGTAAAAAAAAAGATTGTTGCAAAAAATAACAGGGAGACAGACAGAGACAGAAATAAAGACAAAGGTGCAAAAGGGAATTCAAAGAGAAATCGAGAGGATATGTTGGAGAATGGAAAAGACAGGAAGGTAACAAGTGATGTAAAAAATATAGAGAAAGCAGAAGAAAGTGACCATCACGTGTGGGGAAATGAAACAAAGGAAGCAGAGGAAAAGAGCCAAACTGAAGTAGACAGGGGAAATGATGGAATAAAGATGTCTGAGGACCATGCTGGGCATACAAATAGGGAACGAGAACAGCACAGGGAGGAGAGGAAAAAGGATATGGAAAAGGGAACCAAAGTTGAGCGAAATAATGAGAAACCAAAACAGTCTGCAAGCATCGGGCACGCAGAAAAAGAGAAGACTATAAAAGAGGGGGAGGATGGGGAGAGGGGAACGGAGATCAAAACAGAAGGAGAAATAACGGTTCAGAGTGTGCAGAGAGACAGTGATGGAGAATTAGCATCCAGCAAGGAAACTGAGAGGGCAGACTTTGTTTCAATCAGTCCAACTCCTCTGTCTATCATTAGTTTTATGCCCAGGCATGACTATGTGGAATCAAACGAAGGGATAACCTTTACGTCATCTCCTCCATCTCCTCCTTCGTCTCGCTCAACTTCACACTTGATCACCGATGTCAATCAAGGGATTACTATTGTTGCTGTCAGACGACCAACTCAAAGCCCAGGCATTGTAGCATCTGGCATTTCGGAGAACCCCAGCCCTGATGTAGAGGATGGCTTTAGGACCACAACAAGGCCAACAACAGTTGCCACAATAAACTCATTGGGTGGTCCTGGACAACAAATCGCCAGTGAAACTTTAATGTTCACCTCTGCAACCAGTGCAAGACCCCGGGCAGGTTTCAAGGGCCCAGGTAGCTCAACTACAACAACTTTACCCACTACAACTCAGAATGTATACACAACTACTTTCACAGGAGTTGCACACCACAGCCGTTGGAAAGCTAAAAAGAACATCAGCTCAAACACTAAGACTGGTGTAAAACCTCTACCAGGCCGAGGACCAAAGCCTGGTGAAAAGCGTAAACCTACAGTCAGGTCTGAAGGAGAAAAAAAGCTTAAAATTCCTACAAATGACCGTAAACAGGACCGAGCTCCTTTGCCAGACAAAAAAACAAACCATGGCCAAAAGCAGAAGCCTTTTTACCAAAAACCAATAACCGACCAAAGATTGAAACCTGGCAAAGACCCTAAACAAGTCCAGATCCCAAAACCTAAAAAAAAAACCGCCACCTGACCTTTTACCAATTGATCAAAATCAGAAAAACAACAAAAGACCTAAACATGACCAAGAACATACGACTGATCAAACCAAGTTCATTATTCAAAAGCCAAAATCTACTCAAAAGCTTCCAGTTCAGAGGCCTACAACTCATCACACACCTCAAACAGTAAATGCAACTGGTTCGGATAAAGACACTCAAACTGACCAAGAGCCAGAATCTGTAGAAATCCCAGTTATTACTCAAAATGTAAAACCTGAGAAAAAAATTGTTCATCCTCTCAAAATAGAAAAGCCTGACCAAATACAAAAACCACACGCAAAGCCAAAAAGTGAAGAAGAAAAAAGTAAACCTGATCAAAGATCTACCACAAACAAATATATTTCACCTGTTCATGACACTGGAGGAAGTGAAACAACTAGAATAACAACAAGACCTATCCAAAAGCCTATAGCAGTATTAACAGAAAATTCAGATGAAAATCCTTTGACCGAGCCTGTATCTGAAAAAGACTCAACACCCGGACAAAAGCTTACTCCTGATCGGGCCCTGATCAAACCCCCTGATCAAGAGAAGAAATCCAGTGAGCAAATCCCTAAAATAAACCAAAATCCTAAACCCAATGAAAAACATACAGATCTTGTGACAGGACAAAAGCCTAAACAAAAGGGGAAGCCTAAACCAGAACAACGCCCACAAACCAATCCAGGGCTTAGAACCCTTCGACCCGACCAAATGCCTGAACTTAACCCCAAAACTTTGCCTAGAGCAGAATCCAACAAAACATCTAAATTGAGGCCTACACCCAAAGGCAGGCAACCAATCAGACCTAAAATCAGGCCAGGAGCAACACATGTTAAAAGACCAAAACCAGCAGTGCCCCAAAAACCAAGTCTGAAGATAAAAACAGATTTAGATCCTCTACAAATCAGTGAGACTACTTTAGGCAACATCAAAAACTCTGAAACCGACATGTCACCTTCACCTGCCCCTGTAACACAGACTTCTGAGGCGAGTCATTCTCAAAGGGGCACAGAGTTCAGTCCCAGCACAACGAAAACCATGACTCTGGGTCCAAAGACCTCTAACAGCCTGGAGACTGGACCCATCCCACGTCGTGACACTCTCTCAGAAGGCTTCACAATGAGCCCAAACAGCAGGATTACGTCTGATCCGACGCCACTAACAGCCAGTCGACCACCATGGATCCCAACGACAACAAGAGCAAATAAAATCTCCCGTAGGATCCTGCCGAGTGTTATCCCTAGCACAATTCCAGGATCCACAAACCCAAATCAAGCTTCCAATACTGACTTGCAAGCTGAGATAATTCCCAATATTGAGGAAAGAGCAGCCAAACAAATTCCAGTTCCAGACACTATTATGATTCCAGTCCCATCTCCCAGTACTCAAAGATCTACCACAAACAAATATATTTCACCTGTTCATGACACTGGAGGAAGTGAAACAACTAGCATAACAACAAGACCTATCCAAAAGCCTATAGCAGTATTAACAGAAAATTCAGATGAAAATCCTTTGACCGAGCCTGTATCTGAAAAAGACTCAACACCCGGACAAAAGCTTACTCCTGATCGGGCCCTGATCAAACCCCCTGATCAAGAGAAGAAATCCAGTGAGAAAATCCCTAAAATAAACCAAAATCCTAAACCCAATGAAAAACATACAGATCTTGTGATAGGACAAAAGCCTAAACAAAAGAGGAAGCCTAAACCAGAACAACGCCCACAAACCAATCCAGGGCTTAGAACCCTTCGACCCGACCAAATGCCTGAACTTAACCCCAAAACTTTGCCTAAAGCAGAATCCAACAAAACATCTAAATTGAGGCCTACACCCAAAGGCAGGCAACCAATCAGACCTAAAATCAGGCCAGGAGCAACACATGTTAAACGACCAGAACCAGCAGTGCCCCAAAAACCAAGTCTGAAGATAAAAACAGATTTAGATCCTCTACAAATCAGTGAGACTACTTTAAACAACATCAAAAACTCTGAAACCGACACGTCACCTTCACCTGCCCCTGTAACACAGACTTCTGAGGTGAGTCATTCTCAAAGGGGCACAGAGTTCAGTCCCAGCACAACGAAAACCATGACTCTGGGTCCAAAGACCTCCAACAGCCTGGAGACTGGACCCATCCCACGCCGTGACACTCTCTCAGAAGGCTTCACAATGAGCCCAAACAGCAGGATTACGTCTGATCCGACGCCACTAACAGCCAGTCGACCACCATTGATCCAAACGACAACAAGAGCAAATAAAATCTTCCGTAGGATCCTGCCGAGTGTTATCCCTAGCACAATTCCAGGATCCACAAACCCAAATCAAGCTTCCAATACTGACTTGCAAGCTGAGATCATTCCCAATATGGAGGAAAAAGCAGCCAAACAAACTCCAGTTCCAGACACTATTATGATTCCAGTCCCATCTCCCAGTTCTCAAACTACCTCCACAATCAACCCTAACCTCAGGTCAACCACCCCCAAGCCCCTGGCGGATGAGTCTTCCACTCCTAGTGCAAGGGAGCTGCGTGTGAAGATCAAACAGGTGGCTGCCTTCTTCAATAACAGCCTGAGTCCAAATGGAAGGCCACTGGATAGCCATCCAAAACATCACGCAGAGGACAACCAGGGCGGCAGCAGGCCTGACAGCAAACTACCATCTAAAGGCAAGAAATACTATGTTTTATCAATATCATAGAGCTTATACAAGTTCTGTTTTTAATTGTATGCTTTGTCATAGATTCAGACACAGAACGTAGGTCACTTAATGCAGGGATTGTGGTTGTTATTGACAGAGCATTAATGTGATTATACTAGCCTGTGTAGCAGCACTCAGCTTTGGTTTGCAACACCATGTAATGGTTGCTTTGTTTCAACAGTCATCTCAGAGGAAGGCATTATAATTCACTGCACACAGGGGTAATTAGAAATCAAGAGAGGATATGAGGCATATGCAACTTCACAATGACATTCTTGGAAATGTACAGCTATCTGCATAAAGTCTGTTGTGTTGAAATTACATTTCAATGATTAGGCTGAGAGAAAACTGTTATGCAATAATTTTGGATTACTAATTATTGTCACTCAAAGCTATGACCTGTGCTGAAATGTTTTTAGTTAAGGGACCACATGGTAATCACTAATGCTCGACCTATATAAATATGATATGTATAATGTGGTCTGACATCTTCTCTGTACCATACATCAAGACTAAAAGAGGGATTTGCACGTGTGTGCAAAATGTGTGTGTGTGTGTGTGTGTGTGTGTGTGCGTGCGTGCGTGTCATTATATGAGACAAAACCACAACCATGTGGACACTAACACAGCTTTAAAACATCCCAGACTATATCATACCTCATGTGTTTCATTTATTAAAACAATCACAAGGATAAGATAATAGTTATTTTATAGTTACATATTTTAACACCTGCTTTTACTGTTATCTCTCAAATCCACTATTTTAAAAATGGTATGTGTAAACTTTAAGGAGGTCCACCTTGACATTCTTTAAAAACCCTAAATCTTTAATAGTGGAAAAGTAGCTTCCACCTGACCTGTTGTCCTTACGACCTCAACCAACACATTTCACGGCTATATCACAGCTGCAGGACGATATTTATTCTGCAAGATATGAGCAGAAGCAGGACTTTGATTAGATAACTCTATTAATGAAATCAATACAAATGTAATTAAAAAAATGGTTGTGACATAACTCTTTGTGATTTGTTTTCATGTTCCCCATCCACAGTTACGAGAGATTGCTCCGACTACTTGGCAAAAGGAGCAAAAAAAAGCGGGATGTACCTGGTGACCCCTGACCTCCGCAGCAGAAGCTTCCCGGTCTTCTGTGACATGCAGCTGGATGGAGGAGGGTGGACGGTCCTGCAGCGCCGACAGGACGGCAGCGTGAGCTTCAACCGCACCTGGGCAGAGTACAGATTGGGCTTTGGGGAGTTGGACAAAGGGGAATTTTGGCTGGGGAACAATATGATCCACATGCTGACCCGGGCCAGGAATATGGTGCTGAGGGTGGAGCTGGAGGACTTTGGCGGTGTGAGGGAGTATGCACAGTACGAGTCCTTCAGTGTGGCAAGTGAACGGGGGCGCTACAGACTGACGGTGGGCAATTACTCGGGTACTGCAGGTGATGCTCTGCGCTTCAGCAAAAGTTATGATCACCACAACAGGGCGTTCACCACGCCGGACAGGGACCACGACCGCTATCCATCCGGGAACTGCGGGGCCTACTACAGCTCCGGCTGGTGGTTTGATGCCTGCATGGCTGCAAACCTCAACGGGAAGTACTATGTTGGGAAGTACAAGGGAGTCCGGGATGGTATTTTCTGGGGCACTTGGCAGAACATATCTTCAGAGTATTACCCCACTAATGACAGACAGTCATTTAAAACTGTCAGGATGATGATCAGGCCAAGAGGCCTTGCGCCATTAGCTGGGACTCTCTACCAGGGCATGTTTTAAAATAAAATGAAGGGTCCAACTAACAATACTCCTTACAATTTAATAAACCTAGTACAGCCTCCACACTGATAACTATTAACACAATGCTGCCGCTGTGTGGTCTTTTAATCTGCAAAACGAATTTGTTTACAGGAAAGTATGACAATAAGTGAGGATGTACATAGTTGTGGTTATAGTCATGATTGCATATTAGCCTACATTTTTACAAGCTTATAATAATAATATTTTTTTATATCGCTGAATTTGTTCAATGACGATAGAGAGAAAATTCTCTTGTAAAGAGTTATGACGGGTATGTAGCAACAGAGAATGATATTTTGTATTATTGTAGTACTGGAAAGCCAGTTGATAGTTAATAAAAGCTGTATGGATTGTTTTTTAATAGAGATTGTGCTTCTTTGATAAATACATTGTTGAATAAAGTATTGTGGTTTTGTTTTTTCCATTATCTCTTGTAAAGGTATATCTGCAATAAATATGGATAAAGAGTCAGCTAAATGAAATCTAATGGAAGTTATTCAATCAAATAACTTTAGAAACAAGGAAATGCTTCAAGACTCAAATTCCCCACAGCCTTTGCGGATTAAACAACATGCTCACAGAGGCATACTGATTGGACAAGACCTACAGAGGGGCGGTGCTAACTTTACACAAGAGTGTACATCCGGATTGTCAAATGAGTTAAGTGAGGAGGATTAAGACCGGAAGTACAATAAATTGCCTTCAAAAGCCATAGAGGTTTCAATTAACTTTTACATTTAAGCCTACACAATTTATTGTAGATATTTTTACAGTAACAGAGGACTTTACTGTCTAGTGTAACATTTTTACATTGAAATTGAAATATTACTTGCAATAACAATAAATCCTGTTTTGGATTATCCTGCTTTATACTATACTTTGGGTTGTATTATTTACTGCAATTTAACATTTCATAGTAGCCTACCTGCCTTGAGTCTGTTTTATTAATATATTGTGCATTACCTAACTTACTTACCTAACCTAACTTGTTTTTGTTTTTATTAGAGCATTTACCAATAATACAAAGTAAAAAGCAAACTATTTTTTGGTGGATGAGATTTTAGTCTGAAATATCGAACCGGAAGTACTAGTCTTGTGCTAAGAGTAGAGCTCAGACTTGCCAGCGTTTTATCAGTTCAAGTTGACCATGGTGTTGACTGAATGGCAGCTATTTTCCCTCAGAAGTTTAGTAAGTAATTTGTAACAACAGCAGCAGTGTGAGGCGTACATGAGCTAGTTTACCGGCAGTTGAAAGATATGTTTTGTAGCTCAGCAGCTCGGGGCGGATGTGTCGGACTCCTACGGTGCTGGACCCTCACAGCCGGTCCCAGGACACTCACGACCCCGCTCCGCCCTCTGCACACTTCACGGTACTTGTCCATCTCTGTCCCCGTGAAGTCTCCAACATACGAGGAGGTAAAGCCGCCTCTGAAGCAGTGGTCTCTGACGGTGGACCCCTTCAGCACGGTGCGGGCACAGCTGGCCTGCAGCATCTCCATCCGCTCGCTGGACCCGCACGACTTCCCCGAGTCTAACCGAGTCTTCATCACAGTTCACGGGACAGACACGGAGCAGGAGGTCGGCCTGGATGACCTACATGTCCACTATGATGACCAGAGCAAAGAGCTGCTCATCTCAGGGGAGAAGGTTAAGGGCAGTGTGTCGCTTGATATGACTGCACCTACTAAATGTAGTAAGTGCCTCCTGTCCTGTTGATTAAAATGCAAACATGTCAGCAGAAGTGTTTAGCAGTTGGTGTAATAATGTCTGTTGTCATTTGTTGTCAGATCTCTTCATTACGACTCAAGGAAAAGGCAACGTGCAAGTGAAGAACATGGAATGTGATATCTGCAAGGTGCAGACAGAGAGTGGCAACTGTTTGCTACACTCGGTCAAGGTAGGTGGTGGCATTACAACATAAACATGTTTATTGCAGAAAACATAAAAACACGTGGAGATGACATGTTTGCAAATTACTGTATCTTAATGGCTAATTTCATGAGCTTTTGACCTTAACTTGTTTTTATTGCAGATACTTGACTGCTTGTGAAACCAGATTAGTTAGATTTTTTCATTATAACTTCGTATAATTAACAACCAAGTCACAACACCAAATGTCCTAGTCCTCTATTAGGAGCTTGTCTTGAAGGCTTATTCAGCTATACGCATACTGCACAATTATGCAGAATTAAGCATATCAGATGCAGAACACATTAGAGAAAAGTATGTATTTTTCAGTTGTTTCAGACTTCCTTTGTTTGTTGTATCACAGAGTCATCAGGTTGAGGTCCAGTCCAATGGAGGACATGTTACAGGTGTGGGCACTATCCATGGAAATGTGGACATCAGCACATGTGGAGACAGTGTAAGGACACTACACTCAGCAGTCATTAGAGGGCAGCAGCAGCCTGAATACAGGCTTCATCTGTTTACAACTGAGAGAAAATGTTCAGATCATTCATCACCTGTCTACAGTACTGTGCAGTGATTCGTTGTGTGTTTATAGGGTGTTGATGTCAAGAAGCTTCAAGGCACCAAAATGAATATTTCAACAGAACATGGACCTCTGAAGGTCAAAGCCATCTATGCCGAGTCCAGCTTTGTTTCCTCCTGCTCTGGGAGAGTAGAACTGGGCCATGTGCATGGTGAGCAAACATCTACTCCTCATCTGTGTTTTTTGTGTGGTTATCAGTACTGCAGCAAAACTTTAATGTATAGATTTGTCCAAAACTACATATTTATTGTTGATCAATTAAGGGGTTCATTGTCTTGTTCAAAAACACTTTAACATATGTACATAAAGAGCCACCAACACTAAGATTAATAGGCCACCCGGTAAACCTTCTGAGATATTGCAATCTGCGCTTAAATTGAAACAAATTTTAATAATCTGCCCCCTGTATCTAATAACTCACTCGATAAGTAGGTCCTACTATATATTTTTTTTAAACCTTCACTGTTCATGAGTCATTGAAGCAACAGCTGCATTATGTTAACTTGTTTTTTAAAAGCAGTGCTTCAATATGCCAGGAGTCCTTGGCTGTGATACAAACTGAGTGTATTTACAGTAAATGCAATATGGTTGGGATGTGTCACAAAAAATACAATGGATAATCGACATGGAATTTTAATTACTCCCTGATACAGAAGAGCCTCTCTTCATGGAAACAATTATCTTGTTGTCTAGAGTGATGTATGTTTATGATGCGTGTGTTCTGTGACCAAGGCTTTTCTTTGCTAAATGTTTCAGTCTTAAGTGATAAATGTTGTAATTTATCTACTGGTGGCTGAAAAGAATTTCACAGCTAATTATAGGTTGAAACTGACCATGTGCTTTAATTCATTAAAAGGTAAGGCCACTGTGAAGAACGTGTCTGGAGATACAGTAATTGGTGAGCAAGCTGAGCCAACCCTCTGATTGCAAACAAGTACGTATGGCCTTTATCAGTGGTTGTTAAACCTGAGGCTTGCTTTGTTTTGCAGATGGTTCGAATAGTTTCCTTAGGGTTTCCTCTCACAGCGGAGCCATTGATGTGTATGTGGGAGATGGTGGCAGTGCCGAGCTTCACACTCAGGAAGGTAAACAAACGGTACAAAGAACAATATTTACCACATGAATCACAGTTTTCCTTCCTGTTGAGTAATATCTCTTTTGGTTATCCCTCATTCTCCTGTTGTGTGTAGGAGCGGTGTGTGTGCGTGTCCCCTCCTCGCTGGAAGCTGGTCTGGAGCTCAGTGGAACATCGGTGGATATCAGCCCAGAGGTTGTTCTGCATGGAGTAGAAAACAACACAACTGAAGGCCAAACCACTGTTACTGGTCAGTTGTTTTTCATTACATCACTCTCCATGGCACAGATGGATAACTAATCCCTTTTAAAAGTAAATCAACACAGAACGTTCCGTTTCTTTTTCATATGCTTGTATTTTTCTTATTTTTCTGCTGTTTCCCTCTCAGGCTATATCAATGGGGTGTCCCCAGTTGATCATTGGGTCAAAGCTCAGGCAGAAAGAAACTCCGTCAGACTGAAGACACAAAGCTGGTTCGAATCCCTGAAGCTGGGGAGCTGAGTTATGAACTTTACCCTTACAGAGCAAAACTGGGTGTAGCTTTACCTCACAAAGTAACTCTGTGCTCAGGATAAATTGTACATTCAATAAAGAAATGTGTGTAATCTATAGTATTTAAGATATACTCTTTCACTGTACATACTGTACACTGAGAAACTGTTTGTTTACTTGTGATGCAAAATATGTCCAGCAATGAAATGTCTTCTGTATGGTATGTAAATATTATAAACATTATCTGAAACTGTGGCAAAAGCATTGCAAGTCTGTTTTTCATTAAAAGAGTTAAGTTCAGACACTTCACCTCAAATGAAATCATGGTCACGAATTAAAAAATGCAACCCGTTGAATTTGAATCTGGTATTGATCTGGCTTTAATAAATGGAAGGTAATAACTACCATTTATTGAAGCAGTAGGTATAGATTATAATACCAACAATTAGGGTCCAGTGTCAAGCAAATCCACACATACCTTCTGAAACATAGAAGGTATGTGTTATATAAAACAATAATAAACCAAACTGTATAATGAAGAGTGCCATATTTTATTTTATTAAGTATAAATGAACAATGTTTCTATATAAGGGAGAGACACTTGGTCCACTGCATGGACAGACATTAATCACAAAATGTAGAAATAAAAAAAAATATATATATATCACACTTCAAAAGCTTTCAAATCTGACTTTCAAACATTTCTTAAATAACTAGACATGATGCCCAGCCAACTTTTGCATCCACACAGTGGTTTGTGTTGTTGCTGTCACCCTTACTAAATCATCTAATGATAGTTAAGTTGATGTTCAGCATAAATTGTATACATATCATTTTAAAACTAATTTGTTCTCAATCTTGATTTCATAATTTTAAAACAAAGCCAGTTTCTCACTGAGTGAGACCATCTAAGAAATATATCTGAACCAAAACATTTTTGCTTTAAGCTTTGAACAACATCCACTAACTTCTTTTAGAATGTGGAGTGATACACAGTTGTGATTTTTGTATACACGAAAATATACCACATTATAGAGGTAAAAACAATATAATTACAGGGAACTGGAATACTAAAGGATCCAAAACTGTAGCAAGAAGGGTTCTAGTGCATCAAACTCAGAGAGCACAGGACTTTCCCTTGTCAACAGCTGACGAAATACAAAGTGTCAATGCAGCATTGAAACTGTGCATCGGTCAATACAGACAGGAATGTTTTTATAGATTTTTGACCAGTATATTAGTCATTTTACCTCTGCCAGCGAGGTTATGTTTTTGGTTTGGTGCTGGTCCAATTTTCATGAAACTCGGTGGAAGGTTAATTGGCCAAGAAAGAACCTTACAGTGGATTATTTTATGGGTTTCATAAAATACTTAGTTTAGATGCTCTTAATAGGTTTTAAAGGAGAGGTGTCATGCTTTTCCGGTTATTACCCGTCCCCTTGTGTGTTATGAAGGTTTTTATGCATGTAAACGGTGTGCAGAGTCAAAACCCTCAAAGTACACCCTATAGCGAGTAAAACTCTAACCTCCCCAAAACGCCTCGTTGGAGATACGTCATTGTCCATTTGATTCTTCCGGGTACGGCATGATGTCAACCCGTACCCGGAACGAAATGGACCAATCCGCGGAGCCGTTACGTTAAGCCCCCGCTGATTGGTCCAAATTGACCAATCCACGGACTTCCTCACACACACATCTGTGTGCAGGGAGCAGGCAGCTCAGCTGATTTCTCCTCCCTGGCTGCAGGCTGATAACTGACAGTTGGGATCGCAGCAAAATTCTCTCTGCAGACCCATTCTCACAGCGTTTATCAACCTTTTTTTTACTCAATATCAAGCCACACTTATTGTTTTTACTTCGGATGTGAGTTTGTGTGTGCTCAGGATGAGTTTGGCTGTGTTTCGCTATGTATCCTAAACAAGGAAACAACACCTCCACGGAGCTCAGCGCGATTCACAACGTCCCGACCAATCGGAGCACACTGTGCTCACAGGGAGGGTGGGGGCTGGAGCTTTTGGAGCTACAACGAGCCGTTAAAGGCAGAGAGTGAAATTCAGTGAATACAAGTAGTTTACAGAGATGCTGTATGAGAAACCAATGTGAGTTTGGAAAAATGCACAATATAAATCTATTCTAGTAGACCTCAACAATGGAATTATGATCAGTGGAAATGGCCATGACACCTCTCCTTTAAATAATGTCCCAAAAAGGATGGTGGCTGTGATTGCTGTGGGCTCTAATTCTTCAATTAGATCTGTTTATCTCTCTGTACTTGCTGCTCGTGTCATCACTGAGTGCTGTTCCACCTGTTTCCAGGTGTCATCTGTCTTGATAGGTCTTATGATTGGATGTACTTTTTCGGCAATGTTGTATCCAAACCATGGAGGGTCATCATTGCTGTGCTCCCAGTGCTTTACACGTGGCTGAAGCTTTAGGGCGGCCACCCTAGAGGAACAGAGGCTATGTTCATTAAAGACTCTCGTGCAGGACTATTTGCAGTGTTTTTTCTAAACTGTCTCTTACTTTGAGATGCTGCTGCAGCAGGCCATAGTGATGGAGCAGAGTGGAGGACAGATCCTCTCTATGTGTCGGAGACTGCGATCCGTGAGAAGAACACAGCCACTCACATCAAGTTCTCGCAGGTACTGAGATCCACTTGTCAGATACTGCACTGCCAAATCTGTCATCTGAGGCAGGACAGGAGAAAATAGAAACATTTTATTATATGAAATTAACAAAAAAGGCTTGAGAGAAGTGTGTTTGTGGGGGGGTTTACCTTCGCACACCCCGACATCCGCAGCGTGACTAGACTTCTGCAGTAAAATGAAATGGCTCTGATGGCCGGGTCTGACAGAGCTACACAGTGAGACACATCAACATGTTCCAGATCTCTCACGTTCTTGCACAGCTTCTGCCCTCGTGAGGATCAAAGCAGACGAGAGTAAAATGTGAGATGAAATATGAAGAGTGCAGAGGACCAATGTTTACGAGAGACATACATGCCTTCCTCTGTTCACATATGTTACTGGTCAGTAAGTGAAACAACAACTGTGAAAATGATTCAAGTTTTCAGGACATATTTTTCCGGGAAACAGCGGCACACGTTTATTTCCCTTTCATTTGTTGATATTAGACACAGGACGTAACCTTAAGCCCATAATAAGTTGTTAACTGTTCTATAAAAATGCCACATCTGGCCACGTGTTGAAATCCTGGCTAAATGTGTACCTCCATGCCAATATCGGTGATATAGACGCACTGGGCAACATTTAACTTCTTCAAGCGAATTCCTTCAAGAGCTGCCAGGCCCTGAAAATACAAAAACAAAGTAACAGACTAACCAACAGGGCCAGATATCTTTTTTTTTTCCAGGAATTTGTGAGAGTAAATAACAATACCTGATCCTGGATGTTGCAACCGCTGATATCAAGAGAGCAGACAGAGCTTCCACTCAGCCACTCCAGACTCATATCAGTCAGACTCTTACAATAACTCAAGTTGAGATGGTACAGTTTACACAACCTTGTGCACACAAGACACAACAAAAGCTGCTGCGTGAGAATATTTTAACAAAACACAATGAGATCTGTGAGTGTGTGAAGTCATACTGTATACCTTTGTGCAATCATCATGACAGATATGTCAGTGATGTGACAGCAGTAACTGACATTCAGCTCTCTCAGTTTGGTGGATGAAGAGCCTTCTGTCAGATACTGTATCCCAGTATCACTCACCCTGTAATACAAGCAGTAAACCCATTACATCATCCAACTTCATAAGAAAGCTCATAATCTAAAACTACAGAAGACACAACCAGACCCACTTGTTACAAAGTGAGATGTCCAGGTGGTGCAGGTTCTTGAGGCTGGCCACAGATTTGAGGCTGGCGTCAGTCATTCTGGAGCATTCTGCAGCGTGGAGTCTGCGGAGGCCTTGAGAGCTGCTGCACAAAACCTTCCAGCTGTTGTCTGTTAGTTGGTTGTTACCTAAAGAGCACAGGGGTTGAAAAACAGACAGAATAACAAGAAGAGAATTCCCTTTCATGCGTTTTTGAAAATGAATGTTGCACAACGCAAAAAGATCTTACCCTCTGTCCTGAAAGTCCTCAGCTTAGCGACTGCAGCGATGGCTTCTAACGCAATGTCGGAGAGATGAGGAGCATCCAGCAGCGAAATGGCCGATAGACAGTGACATCTCGAAGTGAGAGCCTGTTTGGAAAGAGTTAAACTTAAATCTTCTGCTTCTGCTGTCAGGGGTTAGGGTGTGTACACAAAAAATATGTATTGATTTGACAAGGCTAATTATTTTGTGATTTATTACTTATTTTTTGTCTTCGTTGAACATTCAAGAGCTGGGATGTCGTTAAAAACGTACCAATACACAGCTATCTGACAGAGTGGGCATGTCATTGACAACAATCTCTTTGAGTGAAGGGCATCCGGCAGAAATGTATCTGAACCCATTTACAGTCATCTGTGAGGATAGAGAGGAAAATATGTGTATACATGTGAATCTGAATCATTCTTCTGGACGCAGTTTTCATGGCTGCTCACATTTTCAGGGCCCCAGAAAGTAAAACATCTGGAACCAAACTAAAGCACACTCCCAGAGGATAAGTGTGTTTTATGTTGCCGTGCGTGTGTGTGTTATGTTATGGCGAGTGCACATGGTGAGTGGGTGGGCCAGAGTTGATTAAACCCAACCCTCCTCTTGGCCACAGTTGCCTTCCACTCTCCCTCTCCTCCAGATATGTGTTCATTTGCTCCGAGTGCAAACAGTCACCAGAGAACAGCCAGAAACAAGCAGAGACACGTGGAGACAGAGAGTGACTGGATTTATTAAGAAGTGGACTGAACCTCCTCTACACCCTGTCTACTTTTAACTGAAAGGTGAGACTAAATACCAAACCAAGGAGGATACCGACTGACCTGAGTGCAGCCGGACAGGTTGAGGTGGATGAGATTGTGGCAGCCCTTCTCTGTGGCCAGGTACAGAAACCCTTCATCTGTGAATCTGTAGCAGTAGGCCAGGCTCAGGTATTGAAGGTTTAGACAGTTCCTGTTTAAGATCAATGGTTGGATCAGTTTATATTTAAAATATTGATCAAAAAGGTAGCATGCATTATGGACATGAGCTAAGAGGAAGAACATTTGTATTTTAGATTTTTGGTTGACTGGTCCCTTTATGCTTTTGTAGATAGTAGTTGGTTTTTGTAATGTTTTTTTTAAACAAAATGTATAAAGTTAAATACTTACTTTCAAGTGTTATCACATTTTTAATTAAAATATATCTTTAAATATATATATATTTTTTTAATACAATATTTTCAAAGCATTTTGCATTGTGTTAACTTACTACCCATAAGGGAAAGAGCTAAGGACTAAAATAGGTTGAACCTTTGAATCCATCGTCAATGTAATCACATAGTCTAAACGTTTTGTTATGATTCATCTGTTATCATTAAGTTGGCCAAGCTGCTCTTAGACATGAAATACAAGCCTGTAGCACATTGGACAAACAAAAATGGAGATCATTCTGGGAACCAAAGGGCAGGAGGCCAGAAAGGAGGATAATGGGAGAGTTTACTTTTGATATGCAAGTGAGCTGTACCACTGTTTCATGCACAAATCTTTAAAATGTTTTCACAATTACTGGAGGTTTACCTGGACAGTTCTCTTAGAGTTTTGTTTGTTATTAATGTGCAAGAAAGGTTCAAGTAGAGCAGACAGGGACAGCCCTCGACAATTCTCTGAACCATCACATCCTGTGAAAGAGATTTAAATGTTACCTCAAGTTCTCTCATAAATGTATCTGATACTTATCTTGATACTTGAACTTAAGTCCATGGCACAGTGCAATGCCACAATCAACAAAGCATTACCAAACATGTGGCTTTCATTAAATGCATTATATGTCAATAATTAGAACTAACTAAACAGTCAACATTTGTCAATCAATATTCTACTTGACTTAACAAATAAGAGTCTTAATCAATATTAATCACTTTATACAATGTAGTAATCTTGAATAAAGTTAAATATTTCATTAGAAAATGATGATCTATACATTCTCGTGTACCTGTTTTACTTACGGTAACATTAAAACACTCTGACAAATTGAGGTCTTGGACATTTCTGCATTCACCTATGAAAAAAAACAAAGCAGAGAAATGTCTGTTCAAACTGCTATGTTGTAGTCTGCTATAATTATTAAATTGAAGTTGTGATAGAATTGGTTAATTTAAGACAGTATGTAGAGAACAACATGAAGTCTTATGGTACTCTACTTTCTTACGAGCTGTGTATACATTCCTGGACGGCTCCTATCTCTTACATAATGTGCAGCCGCTCACTTCTTCCTCAGAAAGCAGCAGCTGTTTCCCATAAACAATGACCCTGTCCACTTTGACCATTTGCTTCTGTTTCCAAGTTCGCTTTCATCACACTTTTACCCCTAAATCCTACTTTTCTGCAGCTCTTCTTTCTGAAAAGACAATCCCTGCAGAGAGCATGCGTGTGACCTCCTCTCTCCTGTTAGCCTCCCTTTTCCTCCTCCTGCTCCCGTACGCCGAGATGAAAAGACCGGGGAAGGGCAGAGGCCTCAAAGGAGCAAGGCACAAACTCACACGGAACAGGTATGGATCCACTCATGTGTTGGGCCTAATTTATTCAATGCAAATATCCCCCTCCTCTAATGAGCATGTGAACACTGTGATAAGCCATGAATTCACTTTGTCAGGGTGAGAGGTGTTGGGCGCCACAGCAGATCGGGCCCCTCCAGGATTTCTGCACCTCAATGCTCAGAGTTGACAGAATCTGGAGACTTCTTTGTAGACTGCCAGGACCGAGGCCTCAGCTCCATCCCCGCCTCACAGTGGTCCAAACAACCAAAACACCTCCTTCTCGCACGCAACCGGATCAAAATCCTTCGTGATGGAGCTTTCTTGGGATTTGAGAGCATAACCAGTCTGGACCTGCAGCAGAATCACATCTCTTTGGTGGCTGAAGGGGCCTTCCAGGGTCTGACACGCCTTACAACCCTGCTGCTGCAGCACAACCGCCTGGGGACACTGAGCGAAGAGGCCCTCATCTCCATGCCGAACCTACGGCACCTACGTCTACATGACAATCCCTGGAACTGTGTCTGCCCGATGGAAAGTCTCATCCGCACCCTTCAGGTCCCAAGCAACCGTAATCTTGGAAATCATGCCAGGTGATTTCCACCAATATTTTTTTTCACAGATAAACAAGTTATTACTGATTCTAATAATAACACAGAGCCTCCATTATATAACTTTGGATTTCATCATGATCTCTTCTAGGTGTGCAGAGCCCTCCAGGCTGAAAGGCATGAAGTTGAGGCAGATTAACCCAGAGTTTCTCTGTAAGGAGAAGACAGGCCCAACAGGCAAACCACAGGGCGACCAAACATATCCCACAAACCCTGTACAACCTATTCCAATTCGCACTAAACCGGACGCCACCACATCTTGCCACACCTACCTATTCCCCCAAGTACGGATGGACTGCAGCAAGCGAGGCAAGTTCACAAACAGTTTTTTCCTTTACATGTCTCATAAACTGAACCTTCCCCTGAGCCTCAGCACATATGTTTCTGATGCAACAGGGAAAAATACCTCTAAGGCATCGTGTCATGGAGCTCGTATGTTCATGGTTAATATTCTTGCTGCATGAGTAGATTGACAAAACGTCCACTTCTCAAAAGAGAAGAGCAGGAGGAGACACATCTGGTTTGGCGGCTGTTTTCTATTCAGCATTAAGTTGCTTGGGTCCTTAACCTGTGACTGATTTTACTTTAGATTCACATGTCACATTATGAGCAACTTGGAAATAATTACCTAAACAAAGTCATCAGAATAACTCCATTGCATACCCTGCTAAAGCATTTAAAATGAACCTAAGAATAATAAGTGTTACAACTATCTGCCTCGTATTGGCAGAAAGCCTGGATTTAGATTAATGATCAGGGCAGAGCATAAGTCTGTCTCTACGCACATGTATTCACTTGCTTTACTAAGAGTGCAAACTCAAGATGATTTTTTGTGCAATCTAAGGTTTGGCACATTTGAATGGTAAAGGTGAAAAATCCCTCATTGTAATCAATAAAAAGAAATACTGACCATATGAATGAAGCAATGTTATATTTTGTTTCAAGAGGTAAAATAATGAAATATATTGGAGCAATCCTTCCCTCAGTAACCCCGTCTGTTTTGTTTTTAGGTCTAACTGAGGTGCCTACAGGTATTCCAGAAGATGTTGTTCATATAGATATGTCCCACAATTCAATCCGTCATCTCAAAGCCAGAGATTTCCAAGGAGCCAGGAGCCTAAGAAGCCTCAACATAAGTCATAACAATATGGAGCACATTGACACAGGTATGTGAGCTATGATTACATCATACTGATACCTATTCATCATAACCAGTACATATTACAGTATGTGCTTCATATTTCCTTTAACATCCAGAATGAAAACCTACCCCAATTTGTTTTTATTTGGCTGATGGATATCATACGGCAGGCCAAAGTTTAAGAGCATGTTAAACAACTGCTGCTGACTCCTGTTTCTTTTAAGACACTGGGAACTATGCCATCTTTGTGTATACCGTTATTATTGACTTTATTTATAGTGGGGAAAGCTGAGAGGGTTATGCACATAATGTGGACACTCTGCTTAAGTGATTCAGACACAAACTGAACACCAACCAACACATTCCTTCCAGAGTTTGATTTCACTACTGGCTTTTCTCTGTAAACAATAAACAGCAACAACAGGTCTGTCTAAATATAACTATACAAAGAGAAGAGAGAAGTAATCAATCTCTCTTTTCTCTCTCCCAGGTTCCCTCTCTGGGCTGCTGCACCTTCGTGAGCTAGACCTGTCCGACAACAGCCTGCATTCTGTCCAGTACGGGGTTCTTGAAGACCTTTACTTCCTGTTACAGCTAAAACTGGGAGGAAACCCCTGGGTGTGTGACTACAGGTGGGTTCTTCAGCGCAAATCTTTCCTTTATTTACTTTAGACAAATGCAAATAATAAATGACTGGATTTTTTTTCAGCATCCACTACATGATGTACTGGCTGCGCCTTCACACAGGGGTCAGGTACTCGGGCATGCTGTGTCGCTCCCCTCCTGAACATACAGGGGAGAGTGTGGCAGAGTATGTGCGTTCATACAACAGAGCGTGTCCAAAGGACAGACAGCACAGCAGAACAGATCCAGAGCAAACAGACCCTGAACTCTGGAACACAGCAATGGAAGTGCAGGGAGAGCTGGAGGAGGAGCTGGAGCCCAGCCACTTGAGAACACCACAGAAATACCAAATCATCAGGCTGTCCTGAATCCAGTGAAATATGACCAACAATTTACCTTTTGCAAATGCTATTTAGTTTCCCTACTTTCGCTTCCTTTCATTATTATTAAACTGTCTGTATCAGATGGAGATCCTACTGTCCTTTTAATCAAAGTATAAAGATCTTATTAACTTATTGGTTGTTCTACTCATAATTATTATCAAAAGGACATGATCTGTATGATGGAATATGGATATTGCAGATGAAACACAAAATGAAAATCTAGCAATTGAATGTGCAATACTCACTGATGCATTTCAGGCTTGGCCCCTTTAGAGTTGTGCAGCCACGCAGGTTGAGATGGATCACAAATGGACGGTAGTTCTGCAGAATCTGCTTCATCTTACCCTCTGTTATCCAGTCCTTCTCCACAGAGAAGTTGATCTAATAGGGATACAAAATTAAGGAACATTTATACTCCTGTTTCAAGTATAACTTCAAACTTTACTATGAAATTGATTAAAGATGCATCCTCCTAGTACAGACCTGACTCCACAATGTGCCTGACTGGATGATAGCTTTCCATGTGGAACACACCTCAGCACAATTTAGCCAGTCTCGCAACTCTAAATATCGAAAGATCTGCAGAAAAGAAATCACATGACGTTTGATCGTTTGGAAAGGTGTACACGTGTAGATTCTCTGTTATTTGTACCAATATCTTAGAGACCAGTTGTCATGTTGGAAATGTTTGTGCAATGTCAAGAGGACAGTTAAGCACCTAAATTAGAAAGACAAGATTCTCCTCTGCCACTTAGAGAACCAGTGTGATGTAAGTGTACAAGCAGCCTCTTTCTTTCTCCAAACATAGTCATGTTGAAGCACCATAGATTAGGAGGTGTTGGACAGAAACACCAGAGCAAACAAAGCCAAATCTGCCCTGCCTTTGCCAGCAAATGTGATTCCAAAAACAACAGGGAATATGTTTGTCAGTGCAAGGAGAGTCAAAATATGTTTACAGCTGTTAACATATTTAAAAAAAACACTGGTATTAAAATACTTCTGTAATAATATAATACAAACAAAAATGTAATTAGCAAAGACCATAACAGAGATAAGAGTTGTTCAAGAAACAAAACTCTTTCTCTGGTAATAGGTATACTTGATCCCAATGATCTTAGTTGATATTATACAACCTGGCCTCTAAGAGACTGGAGGAATGTTGACAGAGAAGTTTACTTAAAGTCTTATGTAACCCGTATGATCTCATCACTGAGCTGCTTCACATTTAATTCCACAGCTATAATTTCTCTGTGTGGCACCTTAATGTAGTTTAAGAGGAACTACCTTCAGTGAGAGGTTGCTAGGGAGCATGGAGAGTACGTCACATCCTTCCTCGGTCCGGTTGACCAACCTCTGCAAGATCCAAACAAACCATTAAAATAAGAAATGATAAGAATGAGAATTTGTATATTTCAAAAATAAATACAATTATAAATAAACGTTTACCTTGTAGTACTCTTTTGTCCTCTTTGAGTTCTTTAAAGCATTACGCCATGCAGCTATGATGCGCTTAAGACGACCAGCGTTGACAAGTCTCTCAAGTTTTTCCGAGGCAACTAATTAGAAAAGATATTCAAATCTTATATCATATGTTCATCAGTTTCGCACAGAACACTTGGCAGAGGATAACATGTGGGCTAAATCATGGCAAAAATATTATTATCATTGATCACAAAGTTGGATTCTACTGAATCCTAAGACAAATAAAGCTCAGAAAAATGTGGCCAAGTCTCAAGAGTGAAATGTGAAAGGGACAAAATGAGTCACAGGAGTGAGTGTAGTTGGGAAGAAATGTGTCAGGACATTCAGTTTGGACAGATTCCTTAACCACAGTGCATGTATGTTCTGGCATTGTATTCAAGTTAGCTTCCAAAAACAGTCAAAACTCATCAGGAGTACAGAATATTTGAGTAAGCACTTACCGGCCTGTGTCTTCTTGCGTAATTTTACCCAGTTTAACCATTTAGCAAGTGCAACCAGCTGGCAGTTTCTTTCATGACGCTTCTTTTCCAGGTCCATCTTCAAAGCCAGCTCCGCAATATCTCTCTTACTCTGGGCAGCGAACCTCTTCCACTTCCTGTCCCAAACATCAAACACAGCTCATCATTAATTCAGTGGAAAGGTAAGCAGGCAGACTGACAGAAACCTGCATTAACCCAACGGCACAGGAGTCAGTAACAATGAAATAATACTGTTGTATTAGTGTTTTCTAATGATGATATCAACTGAAGCTGGTTGGGACATTTAGACAGGGCAGAGTTATTGACTGGATAAAAGGTCAATGTTGTAGAAGTATGCACTGACAATAGACAGGTGAAAGGCAAACTGTGAAATATAATATCCTCATGAACTGTGTTAGCAATGATCCAGAAAATACTTTAATTTGCATGGGTCAAATTTCTTCATAGAGTGATATCTGAGTCTTTTTTGAGATGTCGTCCTATCAGTCATACCATTTATAAATATATAATAAAGAATTATGGATTCACAAAGGACATTTAGAGGAAGGCAACTGATGTTTTAGAGCTATTTCTGGATAGCTGAGTGATATTTCAGCCATCACCACTCTCTGAATAAATGCTCCACCTGTGCTGGTCTAATTAGGTTGATTTGAACACAGCACCAGCTGTCTTCAATCACCTAATTGCATCAGAGTAGCAGACTCAGAAAGGTTTTACTATCCTCACCTGCACTTTTCTTATGGTTGATGGCTCTCAAACCTTGAGGAGAAAAAAAAGGGAGTATGGTTGATTGTTTTCTGGGCTGGTAGTTTTAATCAACCGTCTGCTGAGAGTGACCACTGGAGTTGAATTTGCTACCATGGCTCTTCCATTTGGGTAAATAAAACAAAAGTGTATATTTGGCAAAAATTGGCCTGTGTTACTCTTTTAAAAAAACGTTATTGTTATTCAGGGTGTCTTGGCTTTGCTCTCTGTTGTTATGGGCCTGCATTGGCTTTACTACTCAAAAAGGTAAGATTTCTGTATTATTCCTCAACATGTTCAACAAAATGAATTTATTGTAATGTCTGTTTATTCCCTGATAGGCTACAATACTGCACATGGCTACTCTCTCGATGGTGATGACTTCGGTAGCGATGAAAGTGGGCCTCGCACACAAACTTCAAACATGTTTGATTCTGGAGAACCTTTATTCACCAACCAAGAATCTGTCAGTCCAAGGGATGAAATGCAAGCTCTGAGACGCCACAGCTTTATTTCCCTTCAAGGAGAACCAGAGAACCATGAAAACAATGAGGATGTTAGCTCTGTTACTGGCCTCAGTGAAGACATGGTACAAACCAACCCAGACTCAGAACATGTCCCTGCCCCCCCAGTGCAGAAATATGAGCATAAAGGAGCTGGTAATCAACACCCCTTTGGCCTTTTAGTGGATGTGCACACACAAGAGAAACCTATGGAGGGGACCAGTTTTCAGACAGTCAAAGATTTCAAACGGTTTATAGAAAAACTGAAGAGTTCATTTTTGATTCCAGGAGGTGCCTCTGGTCCACATTTTCAAACTGCACGGGAAACTTTGAAAAATGAGATGGCTGCTAATGCTCAAAATATAAAGGGGGAAACGGACATGGGCTATAGGTCTAATTATACAAAAGAAGTAACCGCCCATGATGACGCCAGTGAAAATGAAGTTTGGAGTGAAGCTATGAATACAGCGTTTGAACAAAGTGAAAATGGCACCAACTACCAAATGCCAGGTGAAAACCCCTCTGTCCCAGATCCTGACAACTCCACTGAAAGTCTCACTTATTCCAGTGTTTATGACAACCAAGACTCTGGCCCAGGGTCTGCTCTCTACCCACACCACCCAGAGCATGTTTCACGTAATTACGGTAGTTTTGACAGTTTTGGGGAAAACCCTGATATTTCTACAAGTGCTTCTTATAAGCAAAATGAAGACTTCCAGTCAAAAAACTTCAATCTCCCTGAACAAATACCTTCTGGCTCATACTATGGAGATGATTTGTATTTTGGTGGCTATGTGACTGCTCCCCCTGTCAGCCTTCCATACAGCCCATCTCAAGATTTAAGCTACTACTCAAGCCAGAGATCCAATATAATGCCTTTAACCTCTAAGGTTATTCAACAACCAACAACATCTCACACTGGCGGCTTTGAACTTGGTGAAGATTTCCAAAGTGAGGAGCTAGGCAGAGTGAACTCAGCCAATGACCTGTCTGCACCAATGCCCAGATCTTTGAATTCCTATGCAAAAAGTGTACATGTCAATGGACCGAGAGGTCGATACTACATCCCATATCAGTTACCAAAACATAGGGAAAGCCCAGCCCAACCATTGGAGGCTTATCAACCCACTGAAAACAAGCAATCAAAGGCTGTAAACCACTCTCCCACCGCCCACCTGCTTGTATCTTCTGGTTCCGTTTCTTCAAGCTCTGATAACATCTTACCAAAGAGAAGTAGCGGTCATGTAGGAGTTCAAACAAGTAGCCCACATGATGCTCAGACTCGAGCTTTCAACAAAAAGCAGCCAGTCAGATTCCACCGACTGTTTACTAGGAAACCTTTCAGCTTGCTTCAAGACTCAAGTGGACATGATGGATATCTCAGAGACCAGATAGTCGATGTTAGCCCTCCTTTCAACCTGGCTGCAAAAGACAGGGAGAAATCAGACCTCTCCCAGCTAAATCAAGCCGCTGACACTCGGGGACCAAAACAAATGGCTGACAATACCATAATTATTCCCATTTCTAGTGGCTTAGATTCAACTCAGAGTGGGATCTCATCCTGGGCCAGAGACGATGTGCATTTGAACTCTCTTACTAACTTGGCTCCGACCTCAGCTTCAGAGAAGGCCTATTCAAGATTTTTTGGCAATGATATACATGGTGTCAGAAACCCCCAGGGCTTATATTCTAACCCACTACGACGAGGTCTTTCTGCAAACAAAGCTCTGCAGACCTTCATAAAACCAAACAAAGAACAGCAGACTCCAGCCAATGTGAATAAAGAGCCTCGCATTGTGGCCAACCTGCATCTTAAACCACTGTCTGCATCCAAGGTTTCTGATTCTACTTTCAGTGATGTATTTTGGAGGAATGGTGGCCACAGAAAAAGGCTTCCTTCTCAAATGGGCCCAAACAGGTCACCACCATTTGTAAAGGCATATGTTCACAAGTCCAGAAATGATTACAAAAGGAAGAGACTATCTCTATCAAAGACCCATTATTCACCATATCAGGTGGATGAATACAAGAACAATGTTTACCGCAATGTAAAGGATTTGAAGAACAATAAAGAAGGATTGAAACCCTTCAAGTGAAGCACAACATGGTATGGAAACATTTTAAAAACGTTGCTTGTAAATATATGAATGTTGTACTTATGATTAATTAGAAGTGAAAGCTTTGACCCGCACTTCATTCTGATGTATCAGTTTGAAACTTTAAAATGTAATTTGAACAAGAAGCTTTTGTAAAACTTCCTATTAACAATACCTAATGCTCTCATAACTGAATTATTGTTTGTTGTTTTTTCATTAGGATCTGCTGCCATCTTCATCTTCGAGGTAAATCAAGTTTATGTGCTTCTACAAACATCTGCTGTGATAATGAAAGCCATGAAAAAGTTTATTACCTCATCTTGCTGTTGTCACTCGGGGTAAGCTAATCAGCAACTTTAGTGTTTTAGTTTTTCTTTTCAGTCACAAATGAAAAGCATAGTCAGTGCCAGTATTTGAGCATTAAAAACTGACTCATGAACGGCAATTTGATATTTCTCAGAACTCATTATAGGGGGATGGTTAACAATTCCTGTATTTTAACTTTAATTTTGTTAAACTGAAACTTGATTTTGTTTTTATAGGGTGCACTTAAATCAATTCATGACGAACACTAACTCTACTTCGTGATGGAGCCTATGTCTAACTTTTTTCTCCCTCAGGAAATCCATGATAAAGTAATCCCATCCCCATGTGATGATCACAACTGTAATACTGTAGGCATACCTGAAGCAAGAGCTTGTTAAATTGTTCCTGTAACAGCAGTAGGCCTTTTCGAAGAGGCAAAGGGACATCTAGAGAGGCATACAGATCAGCAGTTATTATACAAGCGCTTAAATCTATTAAACTCTCATTTGAGTATTAATGTGTGTGATGAATCTGTGCTCAATCTGACTATTGATGGCATGAACAATACTGAACCATAATGTACCATGATGTCATCTGGCTCCATATAGGCACAGTCCGAAGTCCTGTCGGTCAGAGTGGTTGTTGCTGGGAGCTGTTCTGCATCAGCGACAAATTTGTGCCTTAAAAATTGAAATAAAGTTGAACAACAAAACAGATCATCTCCAACAAAAAACTTGGATCTTTGAATGATTGTTATTGGAAGAAGTTGGTCTATTTGGTGATTCATCACAAGATTTTAATTTATTTTATTCTTTATTTGCAAAACCTGTAATGACCACCACTTTAAGTTTTTCAAAGAAAATGCTCTAAATGGAAATCTAAGCTGACAAAGACAATATATGATTATCCTTCCAAAATGTTCAAAAACATGTACAATGCCTGTAAATGTGATTGGTAATAAGAACGGAGGATGCTGGTAACTAGTTTCCTTAGGGGTGTGGTTTTTGAAAGTCAATATAAGTCTAATGGTGACCTTTAGAAAACTGTTAAGTATCTTAAAATGGTGTTAATGTGAATAAATAGAAAGACTGGACAAGGTAACTGACATAGGACAACGCAAAGCAATAGGAAACACAATTTGATTAAAAAAACACACATTTATCGTCCAGTTTTATATAAACGTTCCCTCTTTGAGACATTTTGGCTCAGATATTGAATTATTTTATTTGTCCTGGACCTTGATTCTTACTCCATATTTTTTAGCCTACCATGAATATCACTCAAAAGTTGAGCAAGTGAGCCCCCAAGTGTCCATCCCAAGGAAAGTCACAAGAAAGATAGTCTACCTACCAGTCAACATCCTGAAGACTGTCATGTCCCTGGAAGGCCGTGAGAGTGTTTTTCAGGAACTGTATAGGGTCATTGGGACATGACAGGCATGAAGCTGTCAATAAGGCCTATTGTCAAAGAAGCCGAAAAAAAGATGCGAATTACTTCATATTCTGAAAATGTAAACATAAGTGATGATAGAGTAGTCTAAGCTCATGTTATATGTAACATTACCTGCAGCAATCTTTACTTAATACATTTGTATGCACGATGACTTACCTTATATATTTGTGGCAGGCAGTGTTTTGGATCGCACTCATTTAGAGCAGGCTTTGCGTTTGCCCCAGCCATAGTGTGTCTTTGACACATTTGCAAAGTCGTTTAGAGTAATTGTAGAGGAATAATCGAGTATCTTAACAAATGTTAACTAACCTCAGCTCAATTTAGCGTTTGTCAGATTTGGCCCGGTTGTTGCCAGGTAACGAATAAAGTAAAATGTCACATTGGTATTGGTCAACTAATGTCATGCGGGCTGCGGCAAGATGTAAATGTGACAAAGTGGACAAAATAAACGGCGAAATGCACATTATGTTTTAACTAACACATTGCATACGTGATTTTTTTTTGTATGTGTATATAATATAATGCAAAGTTAATTGATTGTTGTTTATAGCCAGAAAGTAATCACCCAGCGAACGATTTGGTCGGCCACTCTCTGAGCCAAGGCGTTGCCAGGTTGGGCTACTTTTATGCTTTTCAATTAAGTGTGTGGTTTTAAACAATTTAGGTCAAATATGCGATATTTCGAGCAACAATATCACACCTAAATCAAAGCGTTATTCTTATTGACATGTTTATGTCGTCATAGCTTTATGATACAATAATTATGAATGTGTTAACTTGTAGCCTAGATATGAATGTTATCTGATCCAAAAGACGTTTATTTTATGTACAAAAAAATAAAAAAATAACACGGTTACAATCAGGACAAAGTCATGTATAGTGACTTTGTCCTGATTGTAACCGTGTTATTTTTTTGTCAAATGATAAAACATTACGGTTATCGATGGCGACTCTAAACTCTGACTGGACTGCTTTTTGCCAGTCAAATATGGCAACCCAAGCTGCCCGGAACCACAGAGCAGATCATTGTTGACAACTGTAGCTCGGCTGCAAACTTCTCCAGCTTTCAGAACAATGAAGCTGTCATTCATTTGGTTGGGTTCTGTTATGGTTTCAACGGGTTGTCTTCAGCGCTAGCTTACTGATGAACCGGGTTTGTTACGTTACTGAGCATCAGTAGCTTGACGTTAGCTAGCTAACAGTTAGCTAAAGACGCAGCAGCAGCATGGGCGATGGCAGCATTACTCCCAGGCTCGGCAACATGAAAGCGTTTCTAGGTTTAGTTGCCGGCGCTGGAGCTTCCTACGGTTTATATAAACTCATTAGCGGGGAGAGTTTTAAGAGAAACAAAAAAAGTGCTGCCAATGAAAGTGCTGGTGTGAGGAGCAGTCAGCCCAGTGAAGGTACCCTGCAGCCGGGCAGCCTGCTGGCCAGAGTGTCCGGACTGGATGTGGTCTGTCCCCGACCTGTGGGGGGTGCTTCAGGTAAGGGCCAGGGGCTCTTAAAGCTTTGACTAACATATCTGATTGCTCCAGCATATTGTGTATCTAAATGATTTCTCTTATGTCCTGTTTGTAAACACAGACTAGTCAGTATATCCCAAACTATGATCTCAAATTTCATAAAAAAAAATGTAAAGAGCATTTGACTGTTAAAGAAAAGCTACTGTGTGGTATTCAGTCTCCTCCAGTGCAAAGAGTTACACATATGACAGCTGACAACTCTTTAATTTAAACACAAATACCTGTACACATTGTATATATTTTTATAATATATATAATGTACGTTTCTTATATATTGATTGTTGTATCTGCTTTTATTTTTAATTTATTTTCTCTTAATAGGTTTATATTTTGCACTACATCAAAGCACGTTCCTTGTAAGTGAAAGAATGCATTGAGATCTACTGGATTTTGATTCTGAATACAAAGAAATGTTTTTAAAATTATTTTCCACCGTAGGTGACCTCGCCCACCAGTCCCCTGGCAACCTGGATCTACAGCACTTGAAAATGCTGCTGTCATGTCTGCAGACCAGCAATAATACAACCGACAGATGTCGGATCCTACTTACGCTAGGAAATTCTGCTGCCTTTACTGTGAATCAGGTACAGTAAGAGTTTACTATCTTAGAAAAACGAAATTCAAGTGTGCTTAGTACTGAGTTTTTCAGCTATGTATTATAATTTTTATTTTCTTCTATTCTAATCCTCCAGAATCTTTTACGGGAATTTGAAGGGATTCATATCATAGCTGGTTTCCTCTCTGATCCTGCACCAGAGGTTAGAGTGCAGACTCTGAATGCTTTGAATAATCTATGTATGAACATCCAAAACCAGGAACAAATAAAGGTATGTCACCATATACTGTACTGCAAATATCCTGAAATCAGTTGCTGCATACAAGATAGTCTGGTAATATATCCATGCCTGTGTGTCTCATAGGTTTATGTGCCACAAGTGTTGGAGCTGATTGAGATGTCTCCAGTGAACTCTGAGCTCCAGCTTGGTGCTCTCAGGCTGCTGACCAACCTTTCAGTCACAGATAAACATCAACACTTGCTAAAAGGATCAATTACACTTTTACTCTCTCTAGTTGTTGTGAGCAAGGAAACTTTACAGGTTGGTATCTTCAAAGTTGCATCTGAATAATATTATTCACATTTTTCATACAATTGTTTTATTTTGTAATAGCTCTTGGAAATCAGATAAAAGCTATGAATACAGTATGATTTATCTTCTAATATTTGCCTTCCAGGTTCAGGCTTTGAAAGTCCTTGTAAATCTGTCATCCAATCCAGATATGATGGATGACATTGTTCAAGCTCAGGTAAGAGTAAAGGAAATATAAAAATAATGTATCATGGTTCTGCATTAAGAGGTCAATAGAAATGCAGCATCATCTATTTTCTTTTGTAGACATACTGTTGTGGAAGGTGCAGAGTTCTTTTATAAATCCTCATTTTGCACTTGACTTTTCTGCTTTTCTCTGTAGGCGCCAGCTTCTGTTGTGCTGCTGTTTGACGCACGAACAGCCTCTGCCGTGCTTCTACGATTGCTGACGTTCGCAGGGAACTTAAAGGCCTGGAGGGCCTCAGCCCAGGTGGCAGATGAACTGAGGCGGAAGCAGGACTGCCTCTTCCGGGTCATGTTAGATGAGTCTTCCCAGCTCCACAGCAGACTGGTCCAGCTGCTCTCACACCCTGATGTGGAGATTCAGTCCCAGGTGGCTCGCATCTTGACATAGACCTCCTTCTCACACTGCACACTTGAACCATGCACAGCTTATGCTTCGACACAATTTGACAAAGCCATCAACCCTTCACCCTTCAATGTCAACTATAAATCTATTGACATAGTCTCATAAAATAGAAGGCTTAGAGGCCTTCTGCTGATATTAAGCTTTCACTTCTTCACTATCTATATTTACAATGCTCTAGAGATCAGAGGTTTTCAAAGTGGGAGTCAGGTCTCCTCAGGGTAGGCTCAATTGAAGGGAAGGGAACATTATTAAAGTAATTATTACTTAAGTTATCAAAGGAGGATCTCATAGAGAAGCCTACATGTGTGTGATTTAGTTAGAGCAATAGTATCGAGATACATTTGTTTTCAGGGAGTTTTTTTCTGCTTTACCAGAGTCAGAAATACCATAGGACAGACCTATTATGTATTTTTTTGTCTGATGTTTTGTCAAACGGCAATATTAGACTGATTTAGCTTAATTGGAGCTAAAATAGCCATGAAATAGCATAATCATGATCCCATAGGAATTTTTTGAGGAGGCCGAAAAGCGTAAGACTTTGAAAACCCCTGCTCTACATCAATATTTTCATCACAATTAAGTTAATTATCCATCACACCTCACCAGCCATATATACACTTTCTTTCACTAAAATGAATTGATGAGCAACCAGTGAGCAGGAGCAGACCATACATGCAATATAACGTAAAACAGACAACCTCTCACTGTCTTTTCCTGCCACCTGCAGCTTATTCTCATGACCAGAAAATGTTTTCCTTCAAAGATCCACAGTGCCCTCCCTTCTGAGAAAGTCATGTACTCTCTCTGAAGGCATGTTCCAGGTGACATTTCTGAACCCAAACCCACTGCCAAACATTTTCTAGAGAATGTGTCAGAACGACCTGCGCAGCTCGACCAAACCACCCTCTGAGGCTCAGAGAGACACTTACTGTAGATGGAGAGCCGTACACCTTAGCATGCCTTGGAGACAAGAATGGCTCATTTATAACATGTTGGATTTAAAGATCATGTTCTTCAATAATCTTTGATTTATGTAATTCATTTGAGAATCAGTGCATCATGACTAGTCAAAGATCTGTCTGTCGGGAAGAACTTGTAGCTGAAACCTTACCTCCACATTAAGAAGAGCTACCAAAGTGGATGGGACACCTTCAATAATTAACTTATTTATGGTCATATGCACAGAAATTACAGAGATGCATGGAGGCAAGAAAAAGGGAGATTCAATGACACAAAATACTGCAAGTTATAATAAATGGATAACATATAATATTAATAAAATGGAAAATATTATACATATGTGGCAGTAATTACAAATGAATAAACTGAATGTAAATGGTAAGGATACAACTTGAGTAAAGCTTGACATCAAAGGTGCACCAACCGCAGCTTCCTGGGATAAAACCAGGACGTAACTGGTGGCGTTGCATCTCTCAAACACGCCGGCAATACCCCAGGGACGAGCGGGGGGGAAGTAGCAAGGGAAAAGGATGTGCTGTGATTGTTTCAGCTACCACACATATTGTGCAGATACGCAGCTTGAAAATGAATGGAGGGGTTGACCTCTTACAGAGTAGCCTGTAATAGTAATTCCTTTGTTTTCTAACCATTAGTATATTTAAACATTTTTCTGCATACAATGGTTATTGAATAACAAAAGAGATAGAATGTTAAGTATGCACTCACAGTAAGTGACAGGCTAGAGCTGTGGATCATTGGCTCTCTTGTAGTATAGAGAGAAAGTGCATGAAAAAAGGGATTATCTCAGAATATGATTTTTAATGCAAGGATTTTATGATATGAGCCTGTCCAGGTGTAATGAAATGCTGCACATTTTACTGACCTTATTGAACCCAAATCCTAAAAATCTCTCAGGCACTATGGTTTACCTAACAGCAGGAGGCTGATTTACTTGTGACCTAGATTATAAGATTTATTTAATGAAGCTTTTTGCCTATCAAATGACAAATGTTTGTTGTGTTTGTTTGAATGGTGCAATAAATACCCTACAAGATCTGTATATCAACATCCTTATTTCTGTTGTTTTCTTAAAAATATTAATCTAGCACTGACTGAATTTGTGTCAAGCTCTGTTGTTGTTGGCTGGTAGGCAGTGCAATTGGGCCTGCCTTTTGGCTTTGAATACTAAGAACCCTACCATGAAGTAGAGAATGTAGTACAAGCTTTAATTTCCAGCAGGTTACTTTAACGGTATTTTCTCTGGTCTCCTTTACAACTGTATCTTCATTTCTTTCAGAGTGCTGTTCCTGGAGTCGTGAAAATGTAAAAAATAAATGTTATTCACTGTTTAATAGAAAATAGTGTAAATAACTGCTACACCTACATCTTACATTTCCCATGATGCAACTCTATGTATTCCAGTTGTTCCCTGGCTGCTTAAAAAACAAGCACAAAGCATTTCTTTCAAACTCCACACCTCAACTTGTAGCTCAGGCTTCCTTTGAGAAAATTCTCAGTTCAATTTTAAATTATTTTCTAAGACTTTAGAAAGTTCCTTGCAGAGCCTTTAATACGATTTAGGCTACAACGGGTTGCATAGGCTTGAAGAGTTGTACACCCCATTAGTTAAATTACATTCATATGTAAAATGTGTGGAACAGCCTACATTCATCAGCCAACTTGTATATTTATATTAAAGTTTTTTTCTTCTAGACGTATTTCTATTGTTTCAATTACCAATTTAATGATTTATGGTGTAGCCTATTACCTTTAGTGTCCTTAATTTGTAAAGCACTTAAATTGAAAAATGACACGAGTATGTATATTTGGGTATTGGCCTACTGAAAAATATTTGCAAATGTATAATTTTGACAAATCACTGAGTCCAAGAAAATTCTTGATTTGTGTGATGTAGGCAGGGATGATGATTTCGACGACAACCTTTAAAATGAGGCTTATTTAACAGTGATGATGCTCTCAGGTCTTTGTCTCCCCCTCCCTCGCAGGCCCACAGCCTCCTCCCCCTCTCAACAACGAGATGACCATCGCCGGATCCCGCTGAGCCCGAGCAGAGTCACAGAGGCGGGCGACAGCACCCAGCGCACGGATCAGAACGCGAGGACGAAGGGGGGTGAACACATTTGGGATTAGCCGCATCAGCTATGAACATCCACCACGTTGAGTAGCAGCAAAACGAAGCTCTCACACCTTAAATCGCGTCGAGGATGAGCGGGACTGCAGCGGCCACCGGATCGGCTTCCTGCCGTTTCGCCCACTATTTTGTTGAGTGTGGAGTGGACACGGAGACGGGCCTGGAGCCGGACGATGGAGCAGGTACATGGTCTACAAACACCCCACAAACAAATCCATTTAAACTCTTAAATACACATCCGAGGACACGTTTCATGTCATTTAAAACATGTAATGTTGGCCTAGTATGTGTAGAGGTGACATCCATTTAAATGTGTTTTGATTGGACACCACATTCCTCTTCCTTTCACAGGGTTGTTGACAACATAATATCCTGTAAAAAAATGGCATGTACATTTTGCCTCCAAAAAGATTTACTCAAAAAAATTCGATTAGAATGTGCTATTATATAATGGCAGGATTTGAGTATTTAAGATATATTTTAAATGTAACAGATACCTAACACAATATTCAATTCATTTTTCAATAAACACATGATTTGAAGCAATAACCTAAAATGACCATCTTACAATCATCCATAGTCTTGTCCTTTTGTATTATCCCTGCTTGAAGAGACGCATTACCATTGTGTTCATTGTGTTTTCATCATATTTTCAGCAGCAGCATCGTAAGTCAAGTGAAAATATAGCTTTGTTGGTTTCTGCAAGTCATCCACTGTTACTGCTACACCTGGATAAGGAATAGCAAAGATAGGGTTTAAATAGAAAGCGGACAAGATTTTGCCCTATAGCACTGGAGCACAGATGGAGCATCCAGGCAATGGATCGTGCATAACAACAGGAATGTGTGTTAGAACCGTTAGAACGAACTCCCAGATTACACTGTTTTGTAAACCTAAAGTATAAAAAATTATAATCTGTGAGACGGCTAGTTTTTCTGTTCAGCTCTTTATGCTGTCAAACAGATGGATTTCTTCTTTCATCCATCAAAACACATCTGTCCTTTTCTTATATAAAAAAAAAACAAAGATGGGAGGAAATGGTTGATGTGATGTAGGTGGATGTGGGGGTTGCCAAGGTGATGACAGCTGCAGTGCTACTCGTGATGGTTTATTTGTGGTTGAAAGCTTCTCAGCTGTTATAGGAATAGAGACCCCAAGTGGTGCTGCTTCTCTCCCACTCAGTTGTTGACACTCATCTAGGTGAGGTGAGGACAGATTCATCTGTGCACCCGTTCTGCTCTGAGTCTTTGTGAGGAAAGGGCTGCTCAGGTGTGTTCATTACCAACTCTTTCCAGGATCTCAAACAATAGTCACGCCCTGTCTTCTCCCAGTGTTCTTGGTAGCAGAAATCTAACTCATGTAGAGCAGCTCTTCAGGGGCAAGATGGCAGGCAGATCTTCTTTCTCTTTCAGCCAAATGTCTTTTAGAAAACAGTGTGTTTAGGGTGAGCTGGTGTATTGCGAGTGAACCCAAGGCTTTGCTGCAGATTAATTACTGCTCTAACTTACCATCAGGGGCTTTGATATCAGGCTCCCTGTGGCGAGTGGCAGCTCTGCTGGCCGGTATATCTGAGCTCCACCAATCTGATTATATAACAGCAGGTCATCTCAGACCCACTGCAGCAGGGGCTCCGCTCTCCTTTCAAGGGATTTTCTGTCTGACAAAACCTACATTTTCTGTAAGCTGTAGTCAAGCAATGTTTATTCTATCATGTGCAATCTGAAAGTGTAGGGATGTGTCAGTTGATACAGCATCTCTGTATTGCATAGACTAATAACACAATGTGTGAGAGTATGACTACCGAGAAACAGTCTGCCCTTGTTGGCTTCTCAATAGACGCCACTGTGTTTTCTGCAGCCTAATCAAATGTCACGTGGTTTTGCCTGATGCTGGATGGCCGATGCTTCAGCAGCAGACTGTCACTGGGGGATGACATCACAGAAGGGCGAGAACTCCCTGACCCTACATTCAAGTTTCGTATTAGAATTGACACTTTTAATGTTAAAAAAAAAAACTGATGTCAAAGAGGTGTATACGTTTTACACTTGTTTTACTGTACGGAAAAATTCCAGACAGTTATTTTATTTTTAGGCACTCAACACTTACATTCTTTATTTTAAGCAAACAAGCCCGGCCTGCACCATGTCTGTGTCTCAGGCTGAGATAAAAAACGAGATTTGTCTTTGTGATGTCACTTGATTCATCCTTTAATGCGCGGACAAATCTCTAATGTCAAAGACAGAGTGAGTTAAACTATTTTAGCCAGAAAAGAACAACTCCTCATCATTCAGTGCCAGCTTAAATGTTCTGTCTTTTTAATCTTTTTTGCTTTTTATATCGGTCCTCATCTACTCATGTAATGATGTGTGATGAGTGGGACGGTGGGGGTAATTCTGTTGGTGAGCATGACAGATGTCTAGCTTCATGGCCGTTCAATCATCCCTAATGAAGTGTGCCTGTTTTAGGGATGGGGCATCATTCAGTGAGGTAAATCTGTGTGATGGATCTCTACACAGTGGACTGAATATGAAACACTTTGTTGTTGTTGTCTTAAAGATTATAGTCACAGTGTTAATTAATTAATATACTTAGGATTAGAGCTGAAACAGTACATGTATGAAACAATTAGTCAATAGACTGAAAATGAACCATTACATTTTGTTAAACAAATACACAAAAAAATTCAAACCACAAATGCCAAATATGAACTAGTTTCAGCATCTCTATTATGAGATTCATCAGATGTTCTTTGTGTTATGTGAAAGTAAATGTAATGTTTTTAGGTTTAGCACTGCTGGTCAAACAAAGCAGGAATTTCTAGGTGGCACATTTGGTTTTAGGAAGTTGTAAAGGACAGTCATTTTGAGCTAAAAGATTAATCAAGATAATAATAGGGATATTAAATGATTATTAAAATAATTATTGGTTGCAGCCCAGGTTATACATGGTTTCTACTGTGTGTGTGTTAATGTGTTAATGTGTTTAAAGAACTAGGCATGCTAATTACAGCCTCACTGAAACAGACATTTAGGCATTCATTCGAACACAAAAACAAACATCCTCCTAATCTCCTACCCGGTGTTGTTAACACAGAGAAAGAGAGCGGCTCCTGCTGAATGGGGTCTCTGCACGCTGTGTGGTGGGAACTCTTGCAGGTGGCATGTTGGTGTTTTTTGGGGTCAGCTAATGAAACTCAGGATGACATAAAGCGCTGACGAGCTTTGTCTTGATGGCTATTTTTCGAAGCCCCGGCGGTAGGTGATACCATGGCAACTAGGTGCTCGATGCCTTTCAGCGCCAACACCAATTTGTATCTTTCGCAAAGAACATTAACTCCCCCTCTCTTCACTGTGATCCATTAGCTTCTGTCTCCCACTTGTGAATGTGACTCAGTAAAACTTGAAGTGGTGCTCCTCTCTCAATCTGCAGTTTCCCCTCTTAGTTGATGTGCGTCATCTCCTTGGTAGGTGATCTGGATGTTCCTGAATGCTGAATAAGTGTGTGACACCCGAGAGAAATGCTAGTTTGCCATTTGTTTTTGTTCTTGTAATGCAATGGTGTCAGTTAAAGCTGAACGCAGTGAAATGGGGAATACAGTGAGGAGTACTGTCCAAGGGCATCCCCCTCCTGAAAGTGGCTGAATAATGAATGTTCCTTATTCACTACTGTCAATCCATTACACACGCTGAATCATACACACGCATTTTCTTTTCTATCTTCAGCAGCTCCTCTTCCTGTGCTCATGCTCACAGACAGCACTCTTTATGTAACCAGAGCTAGATGCTGACACGAGGTGCAGAGACTGAAAAGAGGAGAAACCTGAACTCGTCAGGGCAACAAATCAGATCTGTGCATTGTGACTGTAGGAATAGAGTTGTCTTGCATCCAATCCTTTCATGCACATGTAG